AAGTCAAACATCTTCTTAGATTAGAAACAGTCCAAAACTCACCCTCTATTTTCGACATTTTATTGTATTTGTTGAGGATCTTAACAAGTAGTCTCAATTATCTGCAGGAAGACAACTATAATACTCAACAGTACGCCTATTTTTGGGGAAGTATTCTGCCGACTAACGATGGGAACTAGTACAGTAACTCACAACAGGTCTATGATTCACCAGTAAAATACAGGAAGCGTTGCAGTGCACTTTGACACGGGTGGGCCAAGTGAAGAAAACAGCGCCCTCATCACCAGTGATTGCGAAAGGACCAAAGAAAACATGGCAAATCACGTTGTAATCGACGCCGTTGCCTTCTTCAGAAATGTTCAGTTACAGGCAAGTAAATGTTCGTGTAACCAGGGGAACGGGTGTTACTGAAGTCGAAGCCACGTTTTTCTTCCTGCATGAATGGTTACTTGATCAAACTTTGATTCACTCGACTAAATTTCTGTCTAAATCCTGTGCCCAGTTTCTGGACAGTAACATTAGACTGTAGTTTAGTAGACAGGACAGAGGCGCACATCACAACTCAGAGATTATCCGTGTTTACTGAGAATGTCTCCTTAAAAGGGGACTTTTTCCTAAGAGGGCTTAGCGGTCAAAAATATCCTCATGCTATTTTGAATTGTTTTCTCCCAATTTTCCATTCAAATTTAGTTAAGCTTGTTAAAATAACGTACCTCCAGAACTGTGGGGTCCGTCGTCTGCTCCTTTCCCATGTGGGAGAGAAGCAGTCGGTGGACCCCACAGTTAGAGCTTGAAAGTTGTCTCCTGATCATGATGGCGTGCTTCTAAAGGAAAAATAACATGCACACATTTTAGAATTTGAAATATTTTTCGTGCAGTTACTTCTTAAAAAATCCAACTTGGAAACAGGGCTTTGGAAAATATTTGTTAGTAAAATTTATAGAAACTGGAAAATTACCTGACCTAAAAGAAATATCCTGCCAAAATGGACCCATCACCTCCAAAAATCTAAAATACATGAGGAATAGTCCAATGAGGCGGTTTCGTATGCAAATGAATGTTTTGAAATTTTATGATACCAGTAGTCTGTCAGTAAAAGCTGAAATAAAAACAGATCAAAATATTTCACAAACTGTTCAGATTTATAAGCCAAAGGTAATAAACCTAAAGCAATAATCTACTTTTACAAAAGATTCTAATATTTATTTAACATTTGCTGACAATAATTGCGTTATGTCAAATCAACTGAACATGGAACCCATCGACAACAGGTAGGTAAATCTTTGCAACGTTTTACGGAAAGGATGGAGTTGCGCTAAATTTCCTGCAAAATACACGTATGTCGTTTGTGGGCGTATTTAGTAATTTCAACACAACATTTATGGACTTTGGGATACAAGGCACTTGTGAACGACATTTGAGCTGCCTCCGCCGTAAAATGTAAGAAAAAAACTGAAAAAAATTCTGCTAGGGCAGGATGTTTTTATACCCTGGAAGTTCGATATATCATATACACAGACATAGGTAATTTTCCCATTCAGTGCTTTTTTATCCGTTAAAATGTAATAAAGTCATTAAAAGTCATGTTAATTTGCAAGTCTTAGACATTCTAAACCAGTCTCATCCATCTGCTTAGGGATTGTCATGCACAACTTTCACAAGGTCTGACGGTGTCTAACAGTGTCTCTACATGTACATGTTTATCATCATTTCACACAATCGGCCAGTCTGGTCATGCACGATTATTTCTGTAAGCAGCTACGTGTACACTGTAGTATACAAATATCAAGCAGAATTGCCGCATTGCAGAATTAATATCTGTGACTGTATAATCAGCAGGACCCTAATTTTGCCACCTGTTGTGGCGAGTCTGGTCACAGATGCTCATGGTTGCTGTACATACATATAGGTTGTTGGTTACCAGAATTCTGCCTCTAGGCATGTTTGGCCTGAAAGCTTTTTCCCCACCCTGTGCAGTGACTTCGAAATCCCAGACTCAGCGGCAGCCATTTTTCCCATTGCACCTGTACACAGCGTCGTTGCCAGGTTCACCACTCACCGTAAAGAATAGCATTTTTCATTGGTGTACTGGTGGTATATTCTCCAGACTACTTGCTGTATTGTTGAGGGGGAGTTCCTTTTCAACCTTTGTCCTCAAATTTTTCACTTTGGCTGCTTTTTTTCGTGACTTTTGATCACTCACTTGCATTGAAATATTAGGTTGATGCATCATTAGAATGTTTCAATCCATAGAATAGTCAGTGCATTCTAGGGAGTAGAAAGGGAATTATTTTAGCCCCAGCCTGACCGACGTGGTGCCGATGAAGTGTAATGGTGGACGCTGAATGGTACCAACATCAGCTATAAAACTTATCAAATTACTTATCAAATAACACTCAGATGCCTTACATCATATAAATTGAACCTAATTAGACTTTTCTAGCATATTCACAATTTATTTATTACAGTGTCAGTGTTGACCAAGGTTTTATATTCTCGATGTTGCTGATGTAAATATGGTGGTAAAGGCAGATTTTTTTGGTACTAGCTAAACTACATGTCATGTGACTCAAATTACGCAATCTGATTTGACAATGATGCAAACAAATGGCGAAGCGGTTTGTCTTCAGCAGATTTGGTGCAGATTTTGTGTAATTTTACATTACTTTTTCCAGTTGAAGTACCTCTGAGTTTATTCATTCATGATAGTTTATTCTTTGTACAAAGGTGTGGTTTATATGGCCAAAATACCACAAAAGACACAAAACAAACAAATATTAATGAAATAAAAAGATACAACAACAGATCACAGTCCTTTCCTTTATTTCAATTAAAACAAATTAATTAAGTAGAACTTCAAATTTGAAGAGCTGGCGACTGGGTGGATAAATTTTGACAAATGAGGTGTCATTTTGTTTAGCAGACTAATTTATAATGCCATTGAAAAAACATTTCCAAGTCCTTACCCAGGGTAACAACAATGTATTTATGTCGCATCACTATTTTTTATTCTAGAACATTGCTGAGAATGTTTACACAACCCAAGGAGTAGTGAATGAGATTAAAGATTCTGCAACAAGGCAGAGGCTGACAGTCTTACCCTATGACCTCAAGTATCGGGAACCCTCCCCGGAAAGTGTCAAAATCAGTAAGTGTGTAACAAATGATGGTGGAAATACCACAGAGGAAAAAAAAAACATAAAGTTCTTCCACCATCAAGAAGATCACTGAAGAGACAGGTTTGAAGATGCCTTTCAGCGCACAAGATCCTTATCCACTGTAGCTAGGCAATCCTAGTCTTCCCAAATCCTCCAAGATCCCTTGCACAAGTAGTGGATTTCAGAGATTTGCCGCAAATGTGTGGCTGATTGTTGATGATGCACTGTGTCACTCGGGGTTAGGCCTGAATGCTCAGCTATGCATAAATGTAGGCCTTGATTACACATGTACTTGAAATCATTTGAACTGCAGCATGATGCCATTGCCTCAACATAATGACTTGAATCGTTGGAGGATTGAGGCAGTGGTCACTGCTCATGCGCCAAGGAATACATCCACTAAATAACAGAGCTTATCGAAGGGTTGAGGCTAAATGTATATCCAGTGTTTGTAGGAGGTAGTTGGATGATTTTGCAAGATTGAGTTTGCATCACAAAAAAGGGTTCAAAAGGGAGTTTAATTTAAAAGAAGCAGGTTACTGCCCCGGGTGATTTGAGCTCCAATGTTTTTCTCCTTACATCAGCCCATGCTCGTTGAAATGCTCAATGTGAGGAGAAAATTGAGATAGAAATCACCTCAATGCATTTTCTCACTCATGAAACAGACAAATATTCATCTAAGCCATAATGTCACTTGCACCTCTAACCTGCTTGGGTTACCTGTCATGTTTACACATTTTGCGTATTTACGCTATATACCTGTATCTTTGTAGTCTCAGAATTTGCCAAGAAGACTGGAGACTATCGCAGTCTGTCTGCTGTGGATCTTAAGGTCCTGGCTCTGGCGTACCAGCTGACCAAGGAACACTGTGGTATTGAACATCTGAAACTGGCCCCCGAAAAGAAGGTACATGTTGCAGTGTTGTAGTCAAGCCCATCACAAGACCAGACGTAAGACCAGTCACAAGACCATGCACAAGACCAGACTCAGGACTGTGCACAAGACCAGTCACAACTAACAGGGTGAACAATGACAAAGGAATGCTTGTTCCTTGTTCCAGTTCATGTGAAAGCTTGTGGCTTGAACTCAGACGGTGTTGTAGTCGAGACCATCGCAAGACCAGACACAAGACCATGCGCAAGACCAGTCACAAGACCAGACACAAGACCGTGCACAAGACCAGTCACAAGCAACAGGGTGAACAATGACAAAGGAATGCTTTTGTTGCAGTTCATTTGAATAGCTTGTGACTTGAACTCAGACTGGAGGTCTTGTATCGGTCTTGTGTTGGTCTTGTATCGCCTTGTGAAGGTCTTAAGTGGTGTCGACCACAACACTGACATATTGTGCTGGCAAAAGTCAGGGCATTCCCCCTTGATGAAGACCATTTCAAGTGGGTCCCCTTATTCAGTCAACTCTCATAACAAAGTTTGAGGGACCAGAAAATTTAGTTTGTCATAGCCGTTCTATTTTTTTTTCTATAAAAGGATCGGAAAACCAAAGAAAACATGAGGATTCAAGCTATTGGGGTTCTCAGCATTCATTTATAACAGTATTTCATTAGAACCGTGTTCTAAATATCCAGAGTCACTGTATTTTAGACTTGATTGTGAAAAAATCCATGGTGCTTGTGGATGGCATGGGGCCATGGTGTTGTGTCACTACAAAATTTGACTTAAGCAAGACTTTGGAGAGACAGTTGTCCAAACTTGATTGACATCAGGAATGGACATTACATTGGTGGTAACCTGAAAGATTTATCAGACCTGAAACTGTGAGAAGCAAAGAACCAAGGTGCCCTTTTTGATACAGAGCTATTTTGATACAGAGAGCAACTGCTGCTTAAAGGTTTGCAGTGCCTTGACTTCATGATCAGCATTTTTTGTCCAAGTCACAAAGAAGACCTTAACTTTTTACTTGGCTGTTCATTGATACCTTGCATTAGACATATCCCAAACATGGTGTTAAACAGAGAAATATGGAAGGGCAGCCTAGCACCGTGATCAGAATAACGACAAGAATATAATATCAAATGAGTGCTCTGAAATATGAGATTGCCATATATCAGAGCACTAATGGGATATTATATACTTGTCGTTATGGTGTTAAACAGCGCTCGAAAACAGACTTTGGAGAGATGTTGTTCCCTGTCAGGATCAGCAACACCCATCATTGGGATGGTGGACCGTGCTGGCTTCTGGAAAGGTTATGGCTGACTAGATGTTGCTTTCTTTTCTTATCCAATTCAGGTGACATTGACCAGCAACGCAAGGCCACTGCAGAGGGCCACTGACATAGTTGGTTTTTATCTCCCACCAAAGGTAAAATGGACAGTGATGCTCGCTCCTCGGGCACTGTGCCGACAGTCTTTGAAAATCAGGTCAAACGAGATGCTGAATTTTGGGGTAGATGTTAGTCAGTTTTTGTAGACGTATGAATAACTGTGGGTCTTAGATAAACAAGTCTTTTGCCCATTACTAAAAGTTTTGAGGATTTAACTTTGTCATTTCTGTGTATCTTTCCCACTTGCACATGCCTTATTCCACTGTGCTTGAATAGCACATAGTTTCTTCCATGGGATAAAAGTAAGGGAAACGTTTCATAATTACAGAAGGCGATATTTACTCCGATACCGCTGTATTTTTGCGGTACCAGCATTAAGCCCTTTCGGGTAACTAGTGCGGTGCAGCTAAAAAAACAGCGGTACCGCAGTAAATACCGCCTTCAGCAATTATGAAACGCTCCCTAAGGGAGATGGTAATCAGAACAATTTTGTTTGAAAATTTTATCCAATATTTAGGATACCACAAATCCACTGGTCAAAGAAGAACAGTCAACTACCAAAGTGCCAGACTCGAGTCAGCTACTGGGCAAAGAAGAAGGTGACATCGAACTCACCCTGAGTAAACTTGAAGTTGAAGCAAGGAAAGATGAAGGCAGAGATAACAGGACACACCATAAATCTCAAGAAGGCAGCATGGAAGTCAAGACATGGGGGGATGCTGTTAAGATCAACACTGATGCTGACGTCTCCGAGGATAACTCGGGTTGTGATGTATCAGAGTTCCCAGACGAGTCCAAGGAAGATGCATGTACCGTCACTTCAGAAAACCACAGGGTAGCTCAGGGCAAAACGTCAGAACCCTTGCCCAATACGGCGGCAGAAGTTGACCAGGAAAATGTTGAAGATGACAGCCTCAGTGATGAGGATGATGTTGAGGAGGAAGAGCACGTAGGAAGTGAAGACGACGGTAGAGACGATGAGGGATGGATCACCCCTGGAAACATCAACAGGATACATCAAGAAGCCAGGAATGAACAGACATTAGACAGCATAGTCGTGGCTTGCATGACTGCCGATTTTGCCATGCAGGTGAAGAAACCTTCTGTACCATTTAGTGAATTTGTGGCAGTTTCCAAAATACACTTTATGACTTCATTTGCAAAGTCAATTTCCATAGATAGTCAATACAGAACATAATTGGATAAAACTTTTTGTAAACTGTTTTAGTTAAAGGAGTTTAAAATACACCATATCTTCCCATGTCAGAAATTCTTCAGTAACTGCTGTGAGCATAAGCCAGGGGTGTGATTCCACAGAATTGTTTTTTTCCAAATCTCAGGATTTTCAACCACAAAATCATAGATTTTTGGCAGTTTCATTATTCAGGCTTTGCTGCCTTGTTGCATTTTTTACAGAAAAATTCTAACTGCCAGATCACATAATCACAGCCATTAGTGAGAAAATTCATGCTTTTTTTAGCTGTCAGCAGCCCCTGATAGTCACAGCACTGTTATTACATGTATGACCTCGCTGCTGAATTTTCATGGATTTCTCTTCATTCCCCGATCTCACTCCTGTTGAGCTGACTGACTCAAGTCAAATGCAGAAATGTTTTCCTCGTTCTGTAAACTGATGCACCTGTACTTTACCCTTGTAAATGAAACGGACAGCGTTCCAACTTTCTCGCAAGCCACATACAGTATGTCATATTGCATCTGCTTCCCTTTATGGCAGAATGTTTTGATCCAGATGGGCATTCCGGTCTTGTCCGTGGAGGGGATGTTGATCAAGAAAGCCAAGAGCTTTGTACTACGGTGCCGCAGCTGCTTCAAGTGAGTATTTATTAACCCAATAGGCCACAATTTTCCATCTGTTGGAAGATTGAGGACCATTAAGGTTCAACACCCTTCCTGAAAGCTCTTCAGGAAATTATTGCTGCATTCTTTGAATTGAAACTTACAAGGGGTGCCATCTAACCCCATGAAAAGAAATGTGTATAGTTGCTGCACTCTATCTTCCTAAATCCTACAGAATCCTTCAAATTTCCCATTGGATTTTGAGGGATCTGGGAAGGCTGGGGTGACAGTGATTGCTACATGACACAGTACCCCACCACTTCTACTCCTGCATGCCTTGTTCAAAACCAAATATAAATGAGCATGTTAATGTGGCTTTTCCTTGGTTCAGAAGAGGATTGGGTGTTCTAAAGACAGTGTTGTAATGAGTCACTAAATTTGGTGACTTGAGTCGAGTCATTTTAACATTTTTACTCGAGTCGAGTCATTAGGTCAAGAAGTTCAGTTGAGTCACTTTGTGTACAGTAGTCGAGTTGAGTCAAGTACCGAGCATGAGTCAGTTTGAGTCACACATTTTTTGAACAAAATACAACAAAAACACAACTACACGTAAGTCATTTTTTGGTATTTTTATTTTCATTAAACCACTGAAAAGAAATCGAGGCGGCAGGTATCTAAGCAACTGAAATTTTGCTTTAAATTTTTTTCAGACTCAAGTCTCATAAGCTTGTACTCGAGTCAAGTCTCCATGAGAGATTTGAGTCGAGTCATTTGGTCAAAAATTGTGACTCGAGTCGGATTCAAGTCAGGTCATTGACTCAAGTCATTACAACTCTGTCTAAAGAACGACGTCAGATTTTTCATTTGGATTTGAGAGTTTGTGAAACAAATTGTGGGTTGAGGTACATGTAGATGATAATGTTAAGGTAAAGCCATGTAACTCTTATTTATAGAAGTGCGGTTCCGAAGAAAACTGGTCATAAGCACATTCTTGATGTTTCATGCAGCATTCAGGAGGAAAGGGGAGTCCTGAAGAAGAGCAAAGTTTACAACTTTGAGAGGACTCTCATTACCAGTTCTTTAGAATTGCACTCCCTCAAAGAAGAGTTACGTTTTTGTACAGGCAAGCTTTCATCTACCTAAGTATCAACACCATGCAAAGCTTCAAGTCACACATGTGGGTTAGAAAGTTTGCATGACCATCTTTAGGGTTGCCACTCCTTTGTATCTGCACCAGTAGATCTGAAGTTCTGTCTGCACCATTTTACTTTCTTCCAACCAACAGAATCACCACCAACATGACCAAAGTCTTCTGCCCCCACTGTGGTAACAAGACACTGGACAAAGTAACGGTGACAACAGACGAAGATGGTACCCAACACATTCATCTGTCCCATCGGAAGGTCATCCACAAGAGGGGCCTAAAGGTATGCAGGAATTCAAGTGCCCCTACTTGATCAAATTGGGTGTGCGACCCGACCCATGTCCCCCATTGTTGTACGCAAAGACCACGGCACACCACACAGTGTATTTGCAGAAAGCAAGCCTTCAAGGCTTTGACAAATTGCAGACAAAGAAAATGCAGAGCCAGCCCCGGTGGCAACCACCCTGCCAGTTGAATAAAGAAAATTAACTAAGGATTATTTTACACGAAAATAAACCTCTCTGTCTAGTGTCACAGTGTAAAGTGTATGATTGCCAATCAAACGCTCACCTACTGCTATGGCGGTCAATCTCAGGGGAACCATTTGGTCACTGGTACATTTACATCAATGATAGGACTCCATGTGTGTTATGCCCTTAGAAAAAAAGATTCTCTGTACGGTTATAAGCTGATATTGTGTGCAAGATCAATTCTAAGTATCAGTTTTTAAATCACACCAGATAGAGCAGTGCCTAAAGTTCAGTATTATGTGTCCATATTATCATATGGCTGTTAATTTAACTCCAGGGGCACTTTTGTCAGGGGTGTGCCCGAATCCACTGATAAATCCCCCGTAGGGGATCCTTTGGCTTATTCTCAGCGCCTGAACTGAGTGAAACTTGAAGGCAATGCTTGTATTTGATTGGCTGCGACACCGCCACTGATACTTCAAAATCCTTCACAACCTCCCGGGGGATTTTAAAGGACCTGGACGGTTTAGGGTCGATCATGTCACTGACGAGTCTTCTAAAATTGGAAACGATTTCCGTTAATAAAGGGCCATCTTTCCTGAAGCAGAGTTCTTTATCCTGCTTGTTTCTCCCAAGGTTTACACGTTGTCAGTGTGTTTCCAGAGCAGATCGTCATGGGCCTGGTAAAAGGCATTCAGGCATTTCTTTTTTTTTCACAGTTTTACAGTTTACCAAATACCGTTTGCCAGGCCACACCGAATAGCTTGTGTTTGGTCTAATGCACCATAGTAATAAAGACAATCCAGTCTTCAGTAATATTCCATTGGAATATCCACACGTGTATCCTTGGATGTTTGAAGGACTCCAACTTTGGACGAGATTTTTTTTCAGTGCCATCAACCTGCACAGCCTTTGTTATTTAAATATTGAAAATGCTGTCATGCCCTACACTGTTCCCATCATGAAGATCAGACACAGGGTGTTCCGGATAAAAAATGACCGAGGTCTTCTGACAGTTTCCTATTTTTGTTTCTCTTTTTGTTTCTTATTTATTACCAGTATCCACTACCATTGCCCAAGGGAGGCAAGCATGCTGACAATCCCGTCCTAGTGGAAGATCAGCCAATTCCTCAGAATCGACTGTCGCGCAAGGCCCAGATGAAGACGGACGTCTTCAACACAGACTACATCGCCGGCAATTCCCCGTTTGCCTTGAAGGACACCACCAGTAAGTCGGTGCAGCTCGGAGTGCGGAATTTTGTCAGCAGTGCTGCCCACCACAGGAGGAACCCCAATCAAGTCAGGTCTAAAAAAGGCCGCAAAAAATGAATAAATTGGAGGACTGTCTGCAGATGCCATTTTCAAACGGTTCCCTCTTTTTTTTTTCTAGAAAAAAGTCTGAAATTGTGTTCAGAAATTACAAATCCAGAAGTCACAGTAGGCTATCTCTGTAATCAGTATACGATTTACTTTTTTTCCATGTGAATTTCAAGACTACATGGTAACTCCCATATTGTACACCATAACATCACTGCTAAATATAATAGGCAAACAGTCTTTGAAGATGGGAACAACTTCTTGAATATGAAAACTTACCATTTTTCTGATCCATTTTACTTTGCTTTGTAGTCATCAGCATAAAATTATGAGATTCCGCAATATCTGGTTAATTTGAGCTTTATAGAAATGTAAAAGAAAACATCTAATTGTTGAAACCTCAAAATAAAGATTGGTATCTTTCAATTCTTGATGTGTGTACACCGTTTTTTCCTTACTATATGGTCATTCCTAGTGCTCAAACTGAACTATTTAACAAGTCCTGGGTCTCTATCATCATAAAGTAGTTTTGAGAGGTAAATATGTAGTACCGTTATACAAATTTAGTTTGTGTATTTTTCTTGGGAAGGAGGTTAAGCTGCTTTGGATCCTTTGCATTGGCTTAATCTTGCTCGGTGATGATGGAATATTTGGAGTAATGAAATGGCAGTCATCCTCTCATAGAGACATTTTGAACCCCGTTAGTTTGGTTATTTTGGAGAATCTGGGTTTATGATACGTCCTGCGACATGAAGCCACTCAGTGCTTCGATATTTTTCACATGGTTTGTATTTTGGGGTCTTCAATTTCTGGACCCGGAATTGGGCAGCTGGAAAAGATTCCGAAGTTTGCTTTGTTAAAGTCCAGTCTCAACTCGCATCCTCACCTCGGCTAAATTACAATAGCCCCCTCTATTGATATAAAGTTGAGAAAAAAATGATGCAATACATAGTCGGGTGTAAATTAGCAAAGTTAGCGTTTTAAGAATAGCTCGGGTCTGGGTTTTGAACCGGCTATATGTTCAATATCGTACATGGTTCCCGCACTGTTCCTTAAGAAACTTGCACGCCTTTTTCAGATTACCAACAGTCCATAAGTCACAGCGTATACAGCTAGCTACGTACAAATGTACCCACGTTTTCTGATCTTAGCAAATGAACTGATTTTCTGTGGTGATCGGCCTGTCGGCGAACTCAGAATACTCTGTAGAATAGACAGATAAAGTATTGTCGAACTTCCAAGTCAAAGTATACTCGTGTAAAAATGGCTGACGACGAGGCGGTAAGTAATTTAATTACTTTTCCATTGCCTAATCATGCTAATTACTATGAAAAAACAATCGAAAAAATGCCATATTAATCATGTTAATGGCATATGCTTGGCCATGTTGGCTTGCCTCCATGCAGTAATTAATCATGTCCATGGAGGCACGTCTTTCATCACCAAGTTCTTCAGAGTACAGGCCTAGGCCTGCAGCTTCTGAAAGGCGCACATCATCGTAGCCCCACTACTGTGGGGCAAAAAGACTTGGAAAATACCTGAATAACGTGAGTGAAATCATTCAATAATGGTTTTTAGAAAGCGGAAAGGTCAAGAATCATGTTCGTGTGCAAAAGAAATTGCGCCCACGATGATAAGTGGGTGCGCCGAAATGTTCAATACGTCGACAAGAAATTGCGTAGACGGATGAGTGGCTAAGGATGGATTGGGAGTGAGAGTCCGTGCCACACTAGTTGGGCTAACATCATCACGGAAAGGTCATTCATCGTCATGATCGTAGAAATACTGAACAGACGTAAATCTGGGGCTGAAAAGAAAATCCAATTTTGTTAGGAAATAGAAGAAAGTTTTCTCGATTTCCCATAAACTTAACCTTAACAGTAGGCCTAACAGTAAGGACAGTTAGCCAGCCTGGTTACACAACTAACCTTGACAACCAGACAACTGCTGACATGACCATGACGTGCATGATGACTGACATGACTGAAGTGGATGTGAGACAACTTGACCGTTTACCAACTCGACTTGGGACAACTCGATTGTTGCGACAACTTGACCGATGGGACAACTCAGCATCATTTTTTTCAATCATGTTATAATCCCTTTTCAGTGGCTCTTAATTATACTTTGTAATCAATGTCCCAAATGGCAAATAATTTACCTAGCATGGCTAGTGGCTTTAATCTTAAGTAATGAGCCAGTTCTGTATTTAGATAAGTTAAGGTCTTTCAGGAACAAAGTGTGCGCGAGTCAGCATATGGCTGCACTGATGAGACAGACTTTTGCGCGTGTGTGCATGGCGAAAATTTCCCCATTGGTACTGAACGCAGATAGGCACAGTGCTAGAGCAACACTCATTGGTTGGCTCAGCCCTGCATGCGCTTCACTGAGCTGGTGATGTCACAGCGACCACATGGCAATTACGTGCAAGCTCATTGTCCGGACTCACGGGGGCACTGAACGCATATTGCTGGAGCAGTTTGAGCAAGTCACCAACCGCTACGCGTCGATCTGCACGCACGCACGTGCATGCGATCACGCTTGTAGGGTGCATCAAATTCCCATATCAATCTTGCATATTCATGCGGCACACTCAGCACTTTCGTCCCGTGTCTACCAAACGTACTGCCAACGATTCCCAAATTCATCCTCAACATGTTCAGCCAGTGGCGCGATTTCATACATACTTACCTTGCCACCAGAGAATCAGTAGGGTGTCAGTCCTCAGTTTCACATCAAAGAAATCGAAGTTTTTGTCGAACGAATCTGCTAAATCGTACGATTTTGGTACCCTAGGAAAGCTCGTCACCAGCTCTATCGGAACTGAGGCACCGATGCTAAGCATGAGCGCATGCGCGTGCATTTTCATTCATGAAAACTGCCTTACACGGCAAGGTCAATGACGTCAGGTAATGAGATGATTGTTGTGCCCTCTTGTGGCTGCTTTGTGCCAATTTGTGTAGGATATTTTTCGCCATGATATGTGGCTGTTCCCAAATAGCCTTGTACTTGGCATGCTTTGTTTGAACATCGAACTGCCTCATTGGCAGGAATGAAGTTGTATCTCAGAATGAAGAGTTAGTCATTCCAGAAATGCGCATTTAGCCGAAAATTGTGGCCATAATATAAAATTTGCCTTTCAGAACCATGTCTCGTACAAAGAATTTACTGGTACATTAATATGCACTTGCCTGCTTGATTGTAGTTACATATCGAATAAGAGCACTTGTATTTCAGTCTTGGTTCACAGTTAATTTTTTGCTGTCACCTTTGATTATCAATTTTGACATAATGCCAAACCACATTGGACAGGAGCAACTTCAGCCTTCCCTACCCCAAATGATTTCCTCACAGATATTTGACCCGACCATGAAGAAGAAAAAGAAAAAGAAGAAGATGCCATTTGACCTAGAGGCAGCCTTGGAGGGAGGCGGTGACACACAGGAGAGCACAGAGGCACCCGAAAAGGAGGAGGCACCCAAGAACACAGAGGCAAATGAGGCAGACAAGAAAACAGAAGGTACATTGAATCTCATCTCTTCTTTTCACACACACGCACATTCATTTCTTTTTCCATTGTCAATTCCTCATTACTTTTTACAAATAGAATCCTGCCAAGCGGTAACCCTCACCTTGGGAAACCCTTTAAGCTGCAGTCTAAAAAACAATCCGGGGGGGGGGGGAATCAACTGTCTGAGATTACAGCAAACCAAGTAGATGGTGAAACAACTAAGTTTATATACAATTTGTGATTGAGTCAAAAACTGGCTTAACTGTCTTTTCTGTACACCATGAGCGAATGTACTGTACGTGTACATGAATGTACACTGTATAGTGTGGAAAACATTTATCAAGAACTGTCTCATCTGGCCTATTCAACCCAAAACGTCATGTGGTTAGTCTTGTACAGTGTAGGTGGTTTTTCTTTTTGGTCATACATTTATTGAAAGCTCAATATGGTTGTAGTGTAGTCTTTCTGGAATGGTTATTTCCTCATATCTCCTTGCTCTTGATCGTTTATGGCAGAGATATTGCATTAGAATCTCCCCCGAACAGGTTTTTTTTTATTGTATTAAACTGAATTCAACTCTTAAAGTCCTGAAGTTTGCCAGAAATTTCCTGAATATTCTTAAATCCTCATCAGTGTAAGAAGGTGCATACACATATTTATGCCAGTACTTAAAATTCAAGTGGCATCCAGCCCAATATGAAGTACATTTGCAGTGTCTGAACTACACTTCGCTCAATCTTGCAAAGTCCTACAAGGGCCACCTCATGGCCTCTGAAGGATCTGGAAACTGGTAAACATTGACCTAAAGCTAGCTGTTTGTGTCAGTGCTGCCTCTATTACCCATGATTACATCAGACAAGTGAATGTCATCAGACAGTTTCCCATATTGAGAGTATACATGTAGGTCACTGACGTAGCTGCTGCTAAAGACCTGCCAAAACTAGATTGCACAACTGTTACATCAGAAGCTTTACATGTACATCTGGCTACTTATTATAGTCACAGTAGACTAGTATACGTAACCTCACACAAACATTGAACGAACTAACATGGAACTTACAAAGCGTTTGTCTGTCCTGATTTCATCTGTGTCAAGTCAATGTACAAGTACATGTAGAAGAGTGTACCAGTACTGCGTACTGGGATACATGTAATTCCAGAAATTAGGGGTCTATTTTTTGTGTGTCCCTGTCACATCTCACATATGATTTTGTAAGTTCAGAACATATTTTTTAATTTCCAAGAGTGATGAATTTATACAAATTACCTGCCAAACAAATACATGTAGTAATAAATTGAAATTAATTCCGGCGATATTTCCATGGCAAATAACAAAGGTCAGATGTAACAGACACAAAAATGTCATCTTTTGGACCCCTAATTCGGGAATTACCCATATCCATGTACGTGTAACAGCTTGAAATAAAGTAATCAATTCTGTCTAACATTTATTGCTGGGAATTCTGATAGCTAGACCATGACCCAATAGACTTGTAGATTCCATGTGCATGGTTTCTGTGCGTGTACAAAAGCAGGAACTTTTGCACCAAGTGACAATCTCCCATCGGATAGCCACACTGCTTGCACATGGACTTGATCGTATTGAAGACTGGCATGTCGTTGTCACCTTAGTTGCTCTGTTTGTCAGGGGGACAATCATGGGATGAGTAGCTGGGGGTTGGGATCGAACTACATGTAGTTATAAAGATGAGGGGAGAAGCCTGGGTGAAGAGCCAGTGCCCACAATTAATAAGGGCCTAATGTACTTTTATGGAGCTGCTACATGTACACGTAAGCACAAAAAGGCTGTAAACAAAGAGAATATTTGCTAAGCAGAAGCAGGACACCAGCCAAAAAGCCCCGTCCTGACCAGTTCGCATCCAATGTTTGCTTGGCACATGAAGGTGCTCAGCAGTAGTTCCTGCTTACGCCACCCCCCCAAAAAAGAATAACTACATGTATGTCACTTGCTCCCACACATATTTTGTCGATGCAACCTGCATTTTTTCCTTGGGGAGATTTTTGGGAAGTGTGAAATTGGGAAACAGTTCAACAAAACCTAATATTGATGCTTGCAACTACTGTAGCCTTGACAGTGTTGTTCATTTCATTTCAAATAAATACCACGTGACCTGTCTGACCATTGTTATTTTTAACCAGATGACACTGAGCGATACACTGAATCACTATAAAGATCGAGAATGCCATGTGTACCAAGTACTGCAAGACACAGTGAGCTGGCTGAACACGCACCTTATGTGGAGGTGTGAGTCGATTTGGGCTTGCTGTACTGTGCCGTGCCACACACCTTATGTGGGCGTTTAGCTTGCTGAGCACTTTTATCACACAGCCTTGAATTCAAGTCTATCATGTCAGTCAGCAGTTCCCAATCGCAGTGGTTGTATGAATAGGAATATTGTACATAGTAAGTCGGGAACAAACTTCGTCATTGTCCTGCATGTGTGTTTTTCACTGGCCATGCTGGGCTATCTATTGATGGCTACGGCCATGCTGCAATATTATGTAACCGTGCATGGTTTGGAGTTACAAATTGCATAATATGCGTGTGTTTCATGCAACAGATTGCGTCAAAATATGGAACAATGTAGAATATTAGATAGAACGGACAACTTACAAAATGTAATAGCCATCGAATCAAACGTGAAAAGTGAAGTGAAACTGGACATGATTGTCATGGAAGATAGCCCCTCTGGTTACGCGTTCCACTCACAACACTCAGTCATTTGCTTCAATTCCATTTGCCAAGATTGAAAAGTTCCCTTTTTTTCGAGCAGACCCTTTGGCATCTCTGTTTTTAGCTGCCTGTATGAAATTGGAACCATCAATGTATTTTTTGCCATCTTGGATTGCAGATATGGACTTCGACTTGGACTTCAGCCTGAAAAAGAAGAAGAAAAAGAAAAAGACCTTTGACATGGATGCAATGGACGATGCTTTGGCCGTAAGTAGTCATGAAGAACTCTTATGCCTGCCTTTCGTTTTTCTTTTTTACTTCCCTTTCGTCGTCCGTGGTGGTGATAAACTTTCAAATTGAAGGCCCAGTTGCCATGTTGAGGCAGCGTGAATGGCATCCCGGAGCAGTATGTTTGATTTCAGATATAAGCCAGGCCTGAATTTATGGATGGCTAAACACAACACAAGGTCCATACCAAGACATTGATACAGCGTATTCTTGCAGTCTGCCACACCTTTATGTGCCATTTAGCGTCAATCCTTCACAATTCTCCAAAACCAGCCAGAGGATTTTGAAGGCATGGGAAATGGTAACATAAAACCAAGATTGTGTACAAACCTGCGGGGCCTATTAGGCATGCAAATTCCCTGATGTGTGTGAATAAACAATCAGGTTAGGAAACAGGAAGAAAAGAAAACATGATCTCAGGCGATTGGTTGAATTGTTCTTCAAAAAGTGAACTAAAAAGTCTGCGGCACTTAAAGACTTTTAACAACTGAGCAGTATTAAAATGTTTCCAAGCTAAAAAAGTCTTAACATTAATTCTCAGCCAGAGGATGGATAAAAGACTTTGTTAAAGATTTATAAATTTGATGATAATACATGAAATCAGAAAAAGATAACAAAATTACTTTTTACATGAAGAAAAATGTTTGCAAACTCATCACTGAGTGTGAAGCAGAAGTTACTCTTGGACAGGGGCACGCCATGCGGAAAGTAGAAGAAGCAGATGTGAACTCATGAAAATCTCAAATTTCTTGCTTCGCCACACGTACACAGAGAGAGTAGGATTTGTTTCTGTTTGCGAGTCAGTTCATATTTTATCGACGCAGTGTGACCCATATCTCATTTTGGCGATTTTCTTCTGGCAGGAGGTGGGAAATGCTGTAGATGGTGAGTCGCAAGAAGCCACAAAAGAGTCAGCCCCAGCGGAAACCAACGACTTTGACGCAGACCTAGACTTTGATCTCACCAAGAAGAAGAAGAAAAAGAAGAAGGTAGGAAATACATAGAGCCGGTTTCTGGTAACTAAGCAGGCGTTGATACTACAAAAGGAAAGTGTGGATGGATATGCATACTGGTTCCTCGGGCGGTTTACCAGTGCAGAATATTTGTGCAGTATTTAGCAAGTGGTGTACATTTTGGCTTTACCAACAACGAATCGTTATTCTGTCATGCACAGACACTACATACAGTTTTCAGTGAGCCCCACAGCCCCACCCCTGATTGTTAGATCATTGTTGGCATTAAGACGGATTCAAGAAATAATTTGACTTGGCTTGGGGCAAATGTGAAATCTTCTGTAGATGTCAGTTGTCGCACTTCATTGCATCAGATGTTTTTATTGGCTCAGATGAAAGTTGTCACATCGCCGTCTGACAAACGTACATGTAGGCCCTTGTTTTCTTGAATCCTTCACAGTGAAACCCCAGGCGTCCTCCCTCCCAATAACTGTCAACTTTGCCAACTTGTAGTCCAAACAGTGTTGCACAAATCGCAAACGAAGTAAATGTACTTTACTGAAAGCAACCATAATGTGGGAGGAGTTTTTTTAAGTTTTCATACTTGCAGCACCTTAACTGAATCTGGCGTCATGCAGGGCACAAGTCACGGTGCACATAAACGGCCTAACTATCCCATCTACCTGACTTTGTTGTCCTTTGGGGACGTTCCTTTAGCCGAAGCTGGATGACTTGGGGGCAGACACGTTGGATGACAGTAACAAGGAGAACGAAGAGAAGACGGAGCTAAAAGATACAAGTGGTACAGCATGGGCAGGCACCGAAAGGGACTATTTGTATGATGAGGTGAGAATAGGGACAGTGAATTTGGAGTCCTGAAACATTTCAGAGCACATTTTGACAGTCGGTGTGTGTTAAGATTTTTGCAGATCATAAGATGCAGATGCATTGATGACATATGCTGATATTTGCATTTGTGTCTGCAGTGTGTATGAGCCAGTCCTGATATGGAGAAAAGTCACTCATATGTCCGTGCAGTTGATGAATGTACATTGGGAATAATTGTGGAAAAGTCAGAGTAAGAAAGTTGTGCAAATAGCTGTAGTAGTTGAAATACAAAATGACCTGAAATTCTGGAATCGTGAGAAATTCTGAACATTTGAAATGTTGCAGTACTCCTTTGAATCTTGACTAGAAGCCCAAATACATGTTATAAAGTATTCGGAAAAATAGGACCTTGCACATTTCCTCACAGCATACCTTTTTTCATGCCCATCTACAGAAAAGAAAAACCTCACGTTTTCCATTCCGATTTGTGAACTAGAATCTTGCTCAAAAACTTTTACTGGTACATTCGTTCCCCCTCCCCCCCCAACAGCTCCTCACGAGAGTGTTTGACATCATAAGGGCCAAGAACCCTGATATGGTGACCGGCGAGAAGAAACGATTCATCATGCGGCCACCCCAGGTCGTCAGGGTGGGAACCAAGAAAACCTCCTTTGTCAATTTCACAGACATCTGTAAAATGTGAGTACTTAGCAAAAAGACCGCAGGGACCATTCTGCAGCCGATTTCATGAAACTTTACACAACAGTGAGCCGTCACTGACTCATCATTTTATTGCATACTTTGCGCAACATATTAAGAGTGATTTCAGGAAACTTACACTCTGCATAAGTCCACAACTTGTGCAACAAATCATTTAACAATCATTTTAGGTGGCATAAGTTACACCAAACAAAGCAAAAGTGAATGATTTGGCATGAATGGTTAAGGTTCATTATTGCGGAACTTAACAAGGCTTGCATGAGAAAGGTACCAGTTTGTTTTAGAAGGTAATGAAAAACGTGTTTGGCTGTGAGAGAACTTCGAAATTATATCCGGTTTTGACGAAGAAAAGATGAAAACTTTTACGCGACTATTCCTGATATTGGTTGGTGGGTCCTATAGCAATGTATAGGTTCCTTAGACAAGTACCTTTCCACCCATGAACAACTGAAAAGCTGGGCTGACTGTCCGATGCTGACTTCCTTGATAGTTCTGAGTTAGAAATAACATCGGAGGGACCTAGAGAAGTTGCCCTGCCTTCCCTGGTACTCATACTATAAAAGGGTTTGCATGTGGCTATCACTGTCATGCACAATTTTTGCCTGTGTCATTAGTCTCAAGAGGTGTTGTTTGCCAGGTTAAGTGTCCTCTCTGAATCATGAACTAAGCTGATTAGCGGCATGTATAACTACCCCTCCTTGGTCAAAGTGGCATATAAGTACTCTCTTTTATTTACAGTGTGCAGTTATGTCTGGGAGCAGTCCCGATGTGACAAAGCAGTGTGAATTTGTGTGCATTCAGATGAAAATTGGTGTCACAGACACAAACTCCACACCATTCCCATGCAAAAAAAGTACATGCGCGTGATATATCCCAAAGTGGCTTTCACAGAAAGACATTGCAGTGTTGCTTGAAGTTTCCTGCATGGGAACCAGGCTTTTTGCCAGTTTTGTTCTACAAAGAATCTTTTTCCTTCTGCGGTCAGGCTGCATCGGCCCACAGAGCACTTACTGGCCTTCCTCCTCGCTGAGATGGGAGCCAGCGGCTCCATCGATGGCAACAACCAGTTGATCATCAAGGGACGATTCCAGCAGAAGCAAGTGGAGAACATCCTACGCAGATACATCAGTAAGTCTTTCAAAATCTTCTGAAAAGAAGACTAGCTGACAATAGGGACAGGTGCTGGCCAAAATGATCACATTGATTTTGTGAATTCCTTGTGGTAAACCTCCCTACATTCAACAACATTTTTCTGTAGTCCTTGATATTTTCTTTGGAAGGTCGTCTGGTTTCAGAAACCAAAGCAATACAACCCATGGCAATCATACATCACCCTTGGCATAAAGAAATAAGCTCAGAGTTGAAGTCATCTGCATGAGCTTGTCATTAAAACTGACTTATCTATTCCACGAAGTGTGTTACTTGGTTGTCAGTTTGTGGTAAAATAATGAGATTTAACTCACGTCTGGATTATTTTGACCGTGACTGCTGGGCTGTGGTATGCCCTGAATGGAGGGCTTCGTCCAGCAGCAGGCCCCATTGAACCAGCAGCTGCATGGTGAATAGACTGTATGCATGGTATGCACTGATCCTCACACAGTGGTGCGGTAGTAGCAGTCCTCGGTAGCGAAGGGGTTAACCCTACTACATGCATTTATCTCCATTGGTTGGTGAAAAATCTTCATAAAATTAGACTCAAGACTTCAATAATCAACCTTCAAAGCTTAACCACCTACTGCCGGGTTTAATTTAAAGTTGCATGACATAAAACCAGGGGATTTTCAAGATTTTCCGTTTTCAAAATTCTTCAAAAACTCATAAGTACATTTACTGGACATTTACACCCTCACGAATGACTGTCTGGTGGTTACTCTAATCTAACAGACAACATCTATTAATGCCCGAGTATATCAGCCAGGCCTAGCTGCCTGGTAAAAAGAGCCCAGATTGTGCAGTGTTACATAAGTTTCTTTTGTTCCTGAAACTGGCACAGTGGCCATATTAGCGTTCAGTGGTATTGTATCACTCGTCACTGGAGTGCTGGAGCACCTTTGTCCTTGGTGGTAATCCGCTCGCACTGAATGCCACAAACAGTGGTATAATCTTTCAAAACAATGACAGATTCCCTCCGCTGTTGACAACTGAAAAAATGTTAGCAATTCCCAGCAGCTTGGTCTTTTGTTCTGAGTACAGACTTTCGTTATAAGGCCCAGCTCTTTTGTCCGGTTTCGGGCTCCCCGGCTTGGTGTATAAAGCCTATGTGCCTGAAACCGGGCACTCCAGCAGGAAATGCTTAATCCCAATGAATGAAATTTTACCTATTTTCCCCCTCCACACTTGTTCAACCACAGAGGAGTATGTCACCTGCCATACGTGTAGATCGTCAGATACCTTCCTCCACAAAGAAAACCGTCTCTTCTTCCTCCAGTGCGAGAGGTGCCAGTCGCGTTGCTCAGTAACCAGCATCAAGTCTGGGTACCAGGCAGTCACAGCCAAGCGTGCCCAGATCAGAGCCAAAGCAAATTAATGGGCGGGGCCACTGATAGAGGGGATGGGAAGGTACATTTTTGGAGCGTCCGTTGAGGGGGGGCTTGGTAAGAAGTACAAAATGGTCTGACAGAAGAGCAACACATTTTGAGCTGTTGCTGTGAGCTATTTTTATGACCATTTTTGGACATTTGCTTAGGAATAACCATAATTGGTCATTTCTAGCTTCAATCATACCCATTGAATTTGGCAATCTATGTATTTGTTGTCTGCACAGCTTCTTTAGCTACCACCTATTTACATATCTGTGCTTTTTTTTTTCCTTTCAGTAAATTAGTATCTGTATAAACCACATGCAGTTCCTGGAACGTGAAGAGAATTTTTCCCAAAGTTCTATTCCTAATAATCTTTGCTAATGTGCAAAGCCATTTGTACTAATAACAAATGTTGGGGAGCTCAGTTTAACTGGCTGTCGATTGTAGCAGTTTGATAGCACTGCACTCAACACCCAAAGTGTCTGTGAAGTACATTGTAGAGTGGTCATACATGTGTGAACGTCACACAAAGTTGGGTTTTCTCTTATTTTAGGGATGTATAAAGTCCTCCTGCAGCCCTTAAAGCATTTTTACAGGATGACAAAACTGTTTATTGTTAAACCACCAAAGGCTAGTCCCCACTCTTTACAAATGATAAAAGTGGGGACCAATTGCTAATGGTCATCACATTGCAAGATTTTTGTGGTGACAATTGGTTAATGCATGACATTAGAACCGGCCTTTATTACAGAGTGGATTAGTTAGCAGTGTGTTAGTGAATGAATCAATTATGAGATACAGTAACAGTGGACTTATGTGCTTAATTTTCTCTTAAAAATATTCGGGTTTTCTTTCTTTCTTTTCCCAACAGAGACATTTTGTTACAGGAAAATAATCAAAAAGTTGGAGAGGAGAGATTGAGTAGTTTTTCATTCGTGAATATGCATCATTTAATTATTTCAAATGTCTACTTTAAAATTACAAGTACTTGACAGAGTATATACAATGCTATCAATTTCAAACCCCATGGAAATTATGCCACAATCTTTAGTATCAAAATTATCTGTTCAACAAAGTTTTTCAAGGCAGTTTGAAGTTCAATGCCAGCCAAAAATATACATGTGCATAGCAAATTTACAGCTACAGATAACAAGCAAATATCTGACCTGCTCTGTGCAAATGAGTCTCAAGTCGCCAGAGCCACTTGAAAGTTAATGGCCTTTGAAAGAATCTTTTACAATGTAAAACAATAAGCCAAATTTTTCTCCCCAATATTGTCAATTTTCTTCAAAATGCCAAACCGAGGGATACATCAACACGTAAGGCTTGAGTTGCTCTTTTTCATACAAACAGAAATAGGAATCGCTGGAAAAAAATAATAGTCTTGTGACAGATTTTCACAGAGCAAATCACAAAATGGTATTAATTAAATTCACTGTTGACCAAATGTATACAAACACAAGATGGCACTAGACACGCGCTTTAAATGTCACAAATGAAAACATTCTACCAACTTGAACTGCAATTGTTCATTTGCTGGAATTGCTTACAAATCTTGACACAACTGGTCTTGTGCAGTCAGAGTCAAGTATTGTTGGACATGTGTTTAAACTTTCATCACTCCACCGGGTGATTTCAGCAAGTCCAGGGCTGAAATAACATTTGAACCTTACTTTTCACGCTTCTCAAACGACTGAAGTCAAGTCATTTCAAAAAGCACAGTAACTGAGGCCTTTCATCTAGTATCAAAAGTTAGGGCAAATCTGTGTTCCTCTACAGTGGGCATGATAAAATGCTTTTGTGCTTTCGAGAGGATTTTTTTCCCTTAATAGATCCAAGTTTGGTGAATTTTTCTAATACACCTCGTAAGTCCGAAAATTCGGACTTTTGAGGTGTCGGACTTCAGAGGCGTCGGACTTACGATACCCACCCAAAATGGGAGATGAATAGGTCATCTTTTTTTCCACTGCCCAGGTGGTGGACGTAAAAACAAACAGTCACTCAGCAGCATCCTTGTGGTTCTGCAATGGATGGTGCAGCCGACTAGTTAATGTGTAGAGCCAACAACATAGCAACCGACTTCACACGTCCGTGCTCCGTTCACCCACTGGAGGTTTTATATCAGAAAACTTTCTTAATACCAGCCTAATGTTATGAACTGCTACGACAAAAAGGAAAAAAGCAAAACTGCCCGAAATCTGGCACATGATGGTGCAGAAATAACTAATGAGATTTCTTCCTGAGATGGCATACTAATTTGGCTCATTGAATATACAAATACGCATCTGCAAAACAAAACAAAATGCTCCAAACTAAAACGTAAAAATATAACCTGCAATTGATGACTAAATAATTGAAAATTTGTTTTTTCAGTACACAGCCATAGGACCTTTTAAATAATGAAAGCTACCCAAACAATGACTGCCATTAACCCTAACCTTTCCCATTCACACAAAGTTAAACACCCATATGGGACTTTGTGCACAGAGGCTGTTGGACTTTGTTTTTCTGAGGTATGCCAAACCCAATGCGAAAGCCTGCCGTTACGGGCCTACCAGACCTCTGCAACAGTCCAAACTGTTTCTGCACTATTTTACAAGTTAAAACACATGCAGTTCCAATACATTTAATGAGTAGAATGCATCATGCAGTTAAATTACACTTTATAAGATGCAACTATTTATGTCTATTAATATACAGCTCAAACGGTTTACACTCTCCTATTGGTTGAGACCTTGTCACATGGGTGGTTTTTTAGCAGATAATAAAAGTGCATGTACCAACTGATTTCAAAGACTTTCTGGGTTTCACATGAAAGCTGGACTCTTCTTTTATGGATGACGGCCCTAATACATGTACATGACAATCACTTCAGGCATGCACAATATGACCGATCATTTTCCCTTTTGTGGGTTGGAGTTTCCCTCCGCACCAGCAAATGCACCGCATGCGCAAATTCCCATACGAGGGGATTTTGGTCATGCGCGCTCGAGGTACAAATCATAGATACGGTTTGAGGGGTGTTTCACAAAACACGAGGTAAAATTGATGAACAAAAAAGAATCTGGCTTGTTGTTACTTTTTCACCAAAGAATGGCATTTGTGATTAGGAATGAAAGGGTGACAGGTTAGTTTTAATCTAGCACATCTCAAACCTGCTAGCCGCCTGATAATGATAACAGACCTCTGCCGTGCCTTGGTCCATTATCACCCTAACAGGCTCCTAACTGGTTTTCCTTATACCATTTAAAGCCACACATCACACTCTTATTCCCTTGCGAGAGCATATTATCAATTTAACTTCCATCAACCATGATCCCACCATAATTGAAACCGTAACTTGTGACCATTACATTTTAATATGAATAATTCTCACACACTGTTTCACTTCACAGAAATTGCCCCAACCCATATTACTAATACAAAAGATACGAAATATTCATTAGGAGCAGTAATATGATAAACTGCATTCATGTGACAGACTATGATCAAAGCACAAATATGTAATTAGGCCTATTTTCAAGACTGTCACAATCGAAAACTATGAGATATTTATATATGTTTAACTAATTGCCCCTCTTAGAATGAATAGATGACACCTTTACAAGATCCTGGCCCAATATATGATCACTTCTGAATGTCTATTAAAGCTGCAGATATGAATTGCAAGCACCCTTACAGACATATTTCAGGTTCACTCATGCGTCCACACAAGAGGTTCCTCTCAGTCTAGTAGAGAATTGAGAGAAGAGTTGCCACAGCGACAAGGACGACTTGCCCCGTAAGGCGCACGCCTGCGCTGTCTGGGTCCAGACCGCAGCAGGTCGGGCATGTCTGGCACACAGAGGACTCGGAGAGAGACTTGGAACTGTAGCTCACCACGGTCTGGTCACCTAGATGCAAAGGAAAGGGGGGGGGCAAAAAAGATGAAACCATCAGGTATACTGAAGCTGATTTGATATATCAAGCAACAAGTTCAAGAATGGTATCATTAGAAACCACTTCCTTGCCTGGACAAATTTCAACCCGATCACCGTGACTTAAGCCACAGGCTGCAGAATTCCATTGGACAGTAATGAAGGAGAACATTTAAACATGTTTTGGCAAATTCTGCACACAACACCGGCTTTCACATCTACACTCGTCTCAACACGTGAGTAATTACCACTGAGTTTGTACACACAAAGAACTCAAAACCGATCCACGGAGGTTGAGAGAACTCTAAAGTTTGATACTAAAGGAAAAGAATCAACAGAAATTCTTTCCAAAGGGAGCCAAGAGTTGCTTGAGGTTCACTGCAAGGAAACAAAAACATTGTGCTTTTTTTTTAACTGTATTAGACTTAGGCAATACTCAGAAACTGCAAAGTTTGTAATATTTGCAAGCAAAGCAAACAAATCAGAGGATTTTAAAGCAGTACTCTGCATACCAGGCTTGTAGTAGTCATAGATGACTGCGTTGCTGGGCTTCAAGTTGGCAACAATCTTGTCCCGTCTGGCCACAACATTGAAGCAGTATTCAGTGTTTCTTGTCAACTGCAGGTGAAAAAATTAACACATTCTACCTCACTGGCCGCGGTGACTCCATGCTGATTAAAGCCATGTCCGAAATACTTGGCTTTGGCTGGCATTTACACACGTTTATGGGAAAACAGTTGTAGCCACTAGCCTGCGGCTTCCATATAGGCAGGCATGCTATATCCAACCATTATAAATCAGTTTAGCATCAAATACATGTAAGGCATTCTATTCTGTCACTAACAAAGAATCCTAATGTACAGCCCCCCAAATATCAAGGTTTTTTTCCAAACTCTCAACATTGTTGTCAGATACTGTTGAAGACTGTTCACCTTATCATTACTTTGACATTATTATTAAAAAGAAAATGAAGGGAAACAGATTTTAATGATGTTTTCAATAGTTTTGTTTAGTAACCGGTAAAACACCGCAACAGGCTTTGTATTCAATATGCAAACGAGACGTTTATATTAAGTTACTTACAGCATTCAGGTACAAGTACACGGTCCGTCTTCCAACTTCGTACTTCTGCAGGTTATCTTTTGCTTTCACCTCGCTCTTCAAAGCGTCCTCGTCAGCATAGAAACCAGACGGCAGACCGATCTCAATCATGGACATTCCGGTCACGTCATTCCCTCCAACATACCTGTTGCAAAAAGGAGCAGAACATTTGAACAAACTGTACAAAGAATGCCTTTGTTTTGATTGGAAACATACCGGCCCACAAGCTATAATTGTGTTTTCCTGTAACACTGGGGGGAAAAAAATGGGTAGGAAGGGGGTTGAGTCTTTTCTTTATTGGCTCTAAATTGTTTTTAGCAAAATATTAATTAGAGTTGATAATTTAGCAAGTGACAAAATAAGATTAATTGTATTGTGCATTTAGTAATAAATAGTATTTATAAATAATTGTATTTAAGATTTATTATACATGTTATTGTTATGTAACAATGTGATGTTACATGATGGATCGTATCCGCTCTGCGCAAGAACAAGAGAGGGCAGGTTTTTACATGGATATGACGGTCCTTTTGGGGCAGCTCACTGCGTTTTGCATGTCTGGCTCAGGGCATGCTGTGCAGCAGCAACTACATTTATGTTGGAATCTATGGTCCTCAACCCAGGGCAGAAACTCATGGGTTGAGTGCTTATAAACACACGAGAGCACTTGGCAAATACGGTTCATCCCAGCGAGGACATTTCTTGTTTTTCTGATTTGACAGAATAAAATGACTTTTTCTTCTCTGACAAGTTGACCTGTGTGCAGACACAACACAAAAGTTGTCACGGTTCCGCTGATTTTTATCTTTCCCCGTAAAGACAGACGGAGGGAAGTGAAGACGCAATGTTCCTCATCCGTTACCTGCCACAGGCCATTATGTTGACTGTATTCTTGTTCAAATCCAGCATGGTCACTGTCAGCTCAAAAGAAGGACGCACTTGGACCTCGGCCAGATTGTAGAAGGCAGTGAACTGCATGAGACAGGAACCAGTGCCCGATATAGTTGTTTGTACAGTCCCTGAAGTAACCGGTAACTGGGGAAAAGGACACCAAAGGACAAAGAAACGTTAACTCTCCTGCTCTTTCCATAGTCAAAAACAGTCCAAAATCCTTACACTTCTCATGCTTTAAAGGTAGGTTGACATTATGCCATGGTTGACTGGATGGCTTGGCCCAACATATGTGTCTGCACAGGAAAGTCAAAGCTACGAATAAGCCGATGACTTCTTCTCATAGCCTAAATGTTAGTCTTCAGCATGCTAATGCCCAAGTCCTTTTTACTTTCTTGGTTAATATAGCTCACTGGGCTACTGCAAGCACAGATTTTCATACAAGAAGCATATTGTGTGTCAGCAGGTAATAATGACCTCTTCTGATGTCACACCAGTAATACGTGCAGTGACATGAACTTCTGGTTTCTCTTTTACTTCAAAATGGGGTCAGAGCTAAAGTTTCTAGGTGAAAGGATAAAACCCTTTCATTCAATTCCACCAACCACTATTAAACTTCCACGATGGAGTGCCAAAGTGTGATGTCATTTATAGAACCAGCGAATGCTGTATAAATGAGGTGTGTTTGTATCAAGTTCTTCCCCAATTTTTGCATAAAAAGGGGTTGTACACTTATTCAACAATACCTCTAACTTTTGCAGGATGATGGAGTTACCATCGTTGACGGTGATTCTGCTACTGTAGTCTGGTGAATCGGTTGCTGTCACATCGATGGAAATGTTTCTGGGAGTCATACTGAGACGGCCTGCGTAGGTAGACAGAGCTTGTAGACCAATCACAGTGTCCTGAATGTAAACAGAACATGAATACGCAAAAAAAACACATAACAATAGCCAATGACATTGCATTTCTGACACAGAAAATGAATATGCATTGGTATAAAAAGCTTTGGTAGAGTGCTAATTTGGGGGAAATAGACCACATTTAATCCCTTGTAATATCCAAAGGACATAGCAACCTCTGCCTTGCTGTATTCAGTGCATTTTGGAATAGCGTGGGACCTAACTTCTGCCCACAAAGTTGGAACCGTTCACTCTTAAAAAAATATCTTGATGCTTGTCAGTCATAACAAATCCTGTATTTAAGCTCCTCACTCATATCTTGCAACCGTCTACAAATGACTGTTCTTCCCTTCCATGCTATAGTAATAATCAGTTTTGGATTTTGCCTCGTAGTCACATTGCCATCAGCAAGCTTACAAATCCCTTGACCTGTTTTCAGTTGACATTTATCTATCAAGATCAATAGAGACTGATCGACAGACATCAAAGCATCACATGAATGCACAGTTTCCCTGAGATTGGCCACTGCTGCAGCAGGCAAGCATCTGGCTACCAACTGGACGTCATACATTGCATACTAGACAGTGGTGCTCATTTGCACCGAAAAGAACCAAGTGTTTTTCATCCTTTATCAAACTGCATGTTGGTCTTCACTTGCATTATATAAGGCTGCTGTCGTGCTGATCCAGTACCGGGAATTGGCTCTGTGTTTTTTCCCGTACTTTCTCTTAGGCATGTGCAGCACCAGCACCGATTTTTGCCTGTCAGAATGGTGGACACACAGGAGATCACATGGGCCAGTGAGAGTGCTTTACACATGCACAAGGCTATGTCCAAAACAAAACCTGCGCGGCACATTTATGACAAAATGCAAACATGTATACCGTAAGGTAGCATGACTTTTTCACGGTCCAACTTGTTGCTATCAATCTACCTGCGTGGATCCGTAGCCTCCGTATTCGTTTCTCTGGTCCGTCAACCAGCGCGCGACTGGGGCGGCCCTGGCAATCTCATTCCTGGCCAGGTAGGTCAGCAAGGCATAGCCCGTCATCTCGATGTCGGCTGAGGGCGGAGGGTAATAGTAGCAGAACCACCCGTCTACTTGCTCATCCGCTGTGGCTGGATCAACCCAATGCTTCACTCCGTCTGATGATTAAAAATGGGACCAGATCCCATAAAACCAGTCTAAAGGTTCGTTCTGTTTTCAACAATTATTTGGTTTTAGTGTGCACAGGAGACAGAGCAAACTCAGCTCCTTGATTTGATTATCACTCAGTCTGGCAGCATAATAGAAACAGGTGTTATATGGGTGAAAAATGTCTGAAGCCTTAAGGGATTTACACTGTGCAAGATTCTTTTAAAATTTTTAAACTCAAGAATGGCTCTGGGCATGTACATCATTTTTTATTACAGGTTGGGTCACATATGTTCACAGACCAGATAAGATTGGCAATCAAATTTCACTAAAGGTTTTGCAAATGAACTAAAACTATTTCGGTAATTTCATGAACTATTTTCCCTCTATATCCAGCAATGGGCGACATGTCTTGTGATTAATAATGCACTAGTGAAAACAGAATGTATTCCCTGTGTTTGCAAAAGCAACGCACAGCCGTCCAGTCCTGATCTATAAAAGCTCTTCTGGTGACTAAAAATTGACATTCTGCATAAATCTAGAAGTTATGGGAAATACTGATTTTGAATGCGGACAACATATACATCTTCCTACCTTCTACGACAGCCAATCTTTCCAAGGCATCAAGGAACCTTGTATCCTGACTGTCAGCCAGTGTTAGGGCATAGGTCACCAGGGCCACAGCATACACGTCCCCAGAGACCCGGTTATACTGTTCCTCCAAGAAACCCACAGCCAGGCTGATAGAGTTGTCCACGTGATCCCAGAACGTCTGTTGCAAATGAGACATTACGAAAAGTGTAACATGCTAAAAAAAGCTTTAACCCCCTTTGAGCCGGGAGATGGCAAACACCACGGCTCTGTGGGAGGATTAGTGCATACCACACATACATTCTATTCATCATGCACCTGCGGTTTCAATGTGGGCCTGCGGCTGGACAGGGCTTTGCAGACTGGGCATACCGCAGCCCAGCAGTAGCGGTCAAAAGAATCCCGGCGTGAAAGGGTTAAAAAATAGATCACACCATGCTTTTCTGACAATATGGCAGTGTTTATCACTGCACTGAAGTTTCTCAAGGGAGCACTACTTCCGAACAAGTTTATGACGACAGAATTTGAGGCACCAGAACAAATAAAAAATCATATGCAATATCTATGGAGCCGAAGGCAAAGAAAAGTAGTACCAGTGTTGTTATCGAGACCATCACAAGACCAGACACAAGACCACGCACAAGACCATGCACAAGACCAGCCACAAGGAACAGTGTGAACAATGACAAAGGAATGCTTTTGTTGCAGTTAATTTGAATAGCTTGTGACTGGAATTCAGACTGGAGGTCTTGTGTTGGTCTTGTGGAGGTCTTAATTGGTCTCGACTACAACACTGAGTAGTACACCAAAGGAACAACACTTGTCCTTCGTGGTAGCAGACCATAAAATCTCACCACAGCTCGACACTGATAACAGAGTATTCATTCACGAAGGCACCATCAGTTTCAAACCTACCTGTGGCAGATTTAAAGCCACTCTCTGCCCCTTGACTTCCTCAAGAGCAATCAACACATAGGCTGTCATGGTGACATCCGACGAAACACCACCCTAAGTAAATGACCAGGAGAATTTTGAAAAGGATCACTACCCAGACATTCAACTGGCCTTGAAGTGCTCATATCCATTACAAGCAATGTATAGTGTATGTGGGACTGATGCTCACCTATTGGCATGTACATACGAACAACTTTTGAAAGTTCCACAAAATCTCTGTCTTTTATTTTATGGGATAATCATGCAAAAGCGGGCTGAAGTTTTTAGCGTCCAGACCAAACAGCGCCCTTGGTGAAGTGTGCAAGCACCCATTATCATTTGTACCTGCCGGTCACACAGTAAGCAAAAGAGCGCCCTCAATGACCAGAGCACAGGGCTGATACCTGCATGGCTGTATGGATGACTTTTCCGGGTTCGTTGAAGACTCCGTCCCTGGTCTGCTGGGCAATCAACCACTCCACCGAGCGCTGCACGACCGTCGAATCGATAAAGATGAAGGGCTTAGCTTGGGCGAAGCACTTGATGACGAAAGCCGTCAGCCAGGTGCTACCAGAGGGGTCGCTGTTACCAAACGCGCTGAAGGAGTGATCAGTGTGCTGATAGTTCAACTCTCGCTGATAACCTTGAGGGGAACAAGAAATAAAAAGTTATTTAGATACAACTTTAAGGTTTGCAACATTGCTGACGTTGCACGCGTCAGGGTGTGATCCCTGGACTATGAAAGTAGCGGGGTTTGAGGTTGCTGGATTGCGAAATTTCAATAATATTAAAAGGCACCTGATTGAGCCTGTGATGTAGCAACTTTAATATTAATTTCCTGTTCAAGACGATTTATAACTAAAGGAACTCAATTTGGCCAATGGTAAGTTAAAATTTGACAGAGAGGTTTGGTTTATTGTAGTAGGCAAATGATTGCACACCCTACACTCTTTAGAAATGCTCCACTACTGTTCAAAGCAAAGTGTGCAGCACGGCTAAATTTCAACTTTAACTATTCATAAACCTTTTCCTTCTTTTGGGGGGAATTTCAAAGAACAGTTATGGTAATGTACGTCACAGGTTGGCTTGACTTTAATGTTTCTTTCGATCAAAAAAAAAATCTAAAAAGTATACTTTGATCAAAGAACGTTCAAGTACCCAGTGACCACAAAGTTTCCTAGAGACAAACCATCATTACTGTAAGCGTTTGGTTAGCAACTGTACATCATGTGTTCAAACTAGGCAATGGAGCTTGCTCCACATTTCCATCACAGGCTTTGCCGTGTCTGAAGTTTTGAAGGCTTGCCGATCATGCAGATACTGCCCCCGGCATTGTGGTCTCTGCCTATGACAATGGAGGATGTGCATCGGGCCACGTAGGTCAAGGGGGAAATTCCGGTCCACTAAAAGTCAACTGCTCTCACCTTTTTTCATGAAATCCTTGGCCTTCTGCATCACAGTCGGGTTGTCTTGGTTGGTGCTCTCCAGGTAGGAATAAATGAAGACATCGGGTGCAAACGACAGCATGGTCTGTTCCCCACAGCCGCTTGGTAACTGCAGGAGCTTGTCCAGCCCACTCATCGTGGGACCCATGATGTCACCTGGAGGAACATTGCGACAAACCATTCCCTTCCTAGTTAGACTCCCCGCAGGAATCGAAAAACCAACGTCCATGACTTTTCAGCACTCTTTGAAAACTACATTTTCCACAGCATTCAACACCAAGGTATAAGGAACACACTCTGATTACACTATAAGCCTTTTGCACACACTGAGAAACCTTTATCCCCGTGACAACTAAAAAACATCACCTGTGACAGTCAGCTGGGCACGAACCGATCCCGGAATCAAGAGGTCCTTGGGAAATCCAAAAGTGAATTCTTTTGACAGTGTACCCTGGGTGCTATTGAAGTCAATGAAGACTGGCTCCGAGAACGAGGTAGGGATGCCTTCCGGCTGAGAGGGAAAGAGCAAGTGCAATGCAACAGCATTGATAAAGGCTCAGTCAAGCTCAGCCAATGTTCAATCTAAGCAAAAATGAGCCCAAGGAAATATCCACCACATAACACTTGGACTGTTAACAGTAAGCAAAACTTCATACGGGGGAATGATTTAGCGCTCTAGTCATTTAATACAGCTCTATGGTACATTCTCAACTTCTGCTAAATAATTCCCAGACCTGCCAACCTTTAGAATCACAGAAGTGTATTCCGAGGTTCCAAAATGTGTATTTTTCAATTAAAATGTGTATTTTCCAAAACATACAGGAAAGACAAGCTTACAAGTACCTTTGTGTGACTACATACTATTTGAACTTTAGTGCTTTACTCGTGCAGGCTTAAATGGACCGTATAATTTCCTGGTGTTGCTCACAGCAGTTGCTTTCTTGCATTTACGCAACAGTTCATTTTGGTGTGACCATTGCTGCCATGGCCTGGCTGTGGCTTAGGTGTATATTTTGTTTGTGAGAGAGTCTGACAGGACTGCAGTGCTGTGGGTCGCATTCTTCGTTTCAGCGATGTCGCGGTGTTTACCGGTCATGGTATTTAGCGTCAGCACATACAACTAGTACTTGAACTAGGGTCAACAAAGTGTCAACATCTTGAAAATACCCTCTGAGGATTTAAAAGTAGTTTTATCTAAATTTAGAGATTCTAAGACCTGCCACTGTGTAAAAGAAACACTGAATTCACTTCCAGATTCACGCAGAAAAACAAAACTTTTTTGCAATGTATGGAGGCCGGAATCTCTCTTTTCTATACTGTCCACGCAAAAACAAGATGGCGGCCGGTCAGGCTGCATGAGCAGGCCCGAATTCGTCGCTAAAATTTCCACCTTCAAATATCATTTTTGATAATATGATACATTAAGTTACGTAGGAGCCTAATATTGTAAATGTAAAACTATTTGTATAAAAATGCTTGAATATTTAGTTGACGCTTTGTTGACGTCTGTTGATGCTAAATAGCATGACCTGTGTTTACTGCTTTCGATGTGGCAAGATAAATCATAACTCCCACTATAACTCAATGTATGCACGATACTGGAGTCAGAACTACACGAAGTGCAGCGAAAAAAATGAAAGAGTGAAATTTAAACAAAAACTTCTGGAGGTTTCTCATGCAGGTCAATCATTACATCAAATACTGTGTCAATCAGTGAAGGTTGGGTGAAAATATCACAAAATCATTGAGATGAAATGACCCAGTTCTGCGAAATGACTGATCAAACTTACACCCGGGTTCTCTCAGAACCCAGTATAATTGACCCACCTCAACGAGAAGCTGCCGGACCACAGCATCAGCAGCCTTCTCTGTGGTAGCGCTGACTGACAGGTCCACCGTACCCAGTTTCTGAGGCAGTATGGGGAAGTAGACAGTCGCACCTCCACTGGCTGGGACCTTGACTGACTTCACCTAAGCAGAGGAATACAGATACATATGAGCGTTGGTCAATGCTCGGAAGACACTACAACTAGCGCAAGGCCCTCTCCCAACTACTTGGATAGGGGGTGTAATTACACAGGACTCTATGAGCCATGGTAGAAGCCACTACCTAATAGAGCTGTGCATGATTTCAAACTGGACATGACCTACTTAGAGCAATATAACGTACTGCAAGAAAAAAAATACGAACAATCACATTATTACCAAAAATCAACAATTCTAATCACAACCGTTTTCTTTGAAATTCTGCAGTAGTAACATTGAGAATTAAGATACCAGGCAGACACAAACAGAACCACCAACCAATCTGAAGAGAAACCTTCAGGATCAGGAAAGCAGAGACAACTCATTCTACATTGATCTTGAGGCATTTTTCCTCTCAATAGTTTACCTGATCAGAGTTGGAAATCTTCTCAGATCCATTCTCGTCATAGCTCAGACTTTGGAATTCAACAGAACCTGATAAAGTGACAGTTGCCTATTGGAGACGTGCGAAGAAAAGACAAATATAGAAGAATCAACGTTCCTTGCTTTATTTACCCAAAAGCCAAGTTAATGACCTTAAAAACTGTACCAAAAAAATTGAAGTTTTTCAAAAGATACCAAAATTGAGTTTTTACATATTCCAAAGACAAAATGCTGCATCAAAAAAGTGTAGACTTGCTCACAGAAATAGTTAATAACAGATATAAACTACTTTTTTACAAAATAATTTGTTAATCCAAACTGACAATCTACTTTACACTTGGTGAAATTCATATTTATAATTCTTTTTTCCTTTTCCACTGCACCGTGTTTATTACTAATAATTACAAAATGTGCAGCTGGTTTACCTTTCAGATGGCAGATCTTCACCATCACATGATTGATCAACAGACCACAGTATAGTAACAACAGGAATTAACCATATCCTGCTGGGGAGCCCGGTTTCGAGTACCTTGGGTTTGTACGCATAGACGGGGTGCCCGAAATTGAACAAAAGAGCTGTGGGCCTTGTAACAACAGACAGTCCTCGGAACAAAAGACGGAGCTGCTGGGAATTGCCAACATTTTTTTCAGTTGTTAGTAGCGGAGGAAGTCCGTCATTGTTTTGAAAGATTATACCACTGTTTATGGCATTCAGCACGAGTGGATTACCACTGGGGACAAAAGCACTCCAGCACTCAAGGCATGAGCGATACAATACCACTGCATGCTAATCTGAAAAGACGCCAGCAGTACACTGTGCCAGTTTCAGGAACAAAAGAAACTCATGTAGCACCGCACAATCTGGGCTCTTTTTACCAGGCGGCTAGGCCTGGCTGATATACTCGGGCATTAACAGATGTTGTCTGTCAGACTAGAGTAGCTACCAGACAGTCCCTCCGTGGGGTTTAGGCATTCAGGAAAAGAGATAGAAATTTTTGAAAACCAAAGATATTGAAAAAACGCCCGTATGTAGGCACTGCATTTTAAAAAGCACCTGGCAGGAAATGGTTAATAACTTCAGCACCAAAAAATTGTGGGAAGGTCTTGTTCCCATACTAACCTGTACTGGAAAGGCTAGATAGTTGAAGACAGTGGCCTGTAGAACCAATTTCTCTCCTCGAATCACCGAATACGGCAGCGTCAGTGAGACAAAGAAGGGTCTGAAGACTCTCAACTGGAGAGGGAAGTAGGAGTCAGATGGTCATCATAAAGAATGAAGCTACTCCCTTCAGATCAATGGTGGGTAGAAATCAGGGTCTTGAGTATTCCTATAGCTATTATCAAAATCAAGTGTTGCAGCTTTGCTCTGAATCTTCTTCACATAACGAGTTATCACGAATTCCTTTCCCATACTTCAATACAATTACAGGATAGCTTAACCCTATACTTTTTTCTCATAAAGCATTTCCTTCCAAGCAAAGCTGGGTCTATCCCAAGTTAGCTTTTGGCAAAGTTGGCACATGACAAGCAAACTATAAGACACACAGTTACCTAACACACGCACAGGTTAGAAGGGCAGAGCTCCCACTCAAGGGGCAGTGTCCCTACCTGAGCAGTGGATTCCGCCACGCCAATGCCAGTCTGGGCTGACATGGAGAACGCACTGGCCACCCATGAGGTTATAGTATCTGGCACAGTGGAGGCCACCCTTACACGCCCATCATCTCTGAAACAAGATGGCGGACAGAGGAGGGACAGGGTTGAAAAATAAAGAAAATATCAGTGGGAGGTGCTGATGCTTGAATCTCAACTCAGTGGATTTGCACGCAAAATGTGTTTTTCAGCCTGACACCAATAATGTGAAATTTACACATTCTATGTTCTTATATACATGTATGGCATCACACCAGTTTACTTGAAATCAAAATGATGCTGTGAAAAGGAAAGGATGATGTTGCCATGCTGGTTTAAATTAAGCCTTAATCATGCAAAATAAGAGCATGCATACAAGACAATCCTTCCAGTTTTAGGCGAAGATGCAACAACCTGCTTCCCCATCAGCACATTCCTGTTGTACAGGAATTCAGCTGTACAACGGCTGTCCATACGGAACACTGACAATATGGCATTTGTTTCAAGTCCGGTTTTGAAGTTTTTTTTTTACACTCTGCACTGTTCCTGCCAACCTCATAACTTCGCTGCCATGACTGGGCAAGTTTGGACACAAACTCTATTTTGACCTCTAGCCCGATTGCTCTTTAATAATGCACCCATGGAACACAGTCAAGCTCCAGCGACCCTCGTTGAAATTCTGTAAAATCCCATTGTCACACTGGCTACAACTCTTGCAGTATTCGTGGTCAAAGACACCTCATACAAATATGTTCATGGGAAAGGTTCGACCAATCAATCAATGATGGTTATTAAAATATCCACCGTTAGCGACATATGGCCGCATTGCCGGTGAATTTATAGCATCAAGACATTAAAAAAAGAAATATGAAACACAAACTTATATCATTAAAATGAATGAAGAAAGCCTTCTTAATAAAAAGTATTTATGAACTGACATGTACAAAAAGGGGCTTACAAACGAAATAAAAAAATGAAACAAAATTAAAACAACGAATAAAAATGCGACATGACATTAAAACGTGACAGTATCAAAAGAAAGTTTTTAAATGATTTAAATGGAACATGTCGAATAAAAAAAAAATAGGCTACCCGAAAAATAAGCTGAGAAAAGTAACAAATTAACTTGCAAGGATTGATCCAGACAAAAAAAAAGAAACCAACACACATTGAAACAGTGGACAGAATGGGTTCACTCTGTACCGAAATTCCCCTAATGATAACCATGCCCCAGAGACTGGTTCAAAATGGTTGACCAGATCCAAACCATCCATCATTTGGGCAATACTGGGCATTGTTTCATGTTATACCCTGAACCTGCTTATCAACTGTAAATATACAGTGTATTTTGCTTTGATTTTTTTCCATGAAGAGGCAATGGAAAAGCAACAAACTCATTTATAAAACAAAAATTCTGACCTACCCAGCAATATAGTCACTCCACAGCCAAGTCTCAGGAAACTCAGTGCGAACCCGGGGCTCTGGAGGGGGCGGAGCTGCATTTGGAGGTGCCCCGGCACTATCTGCCTTGGCACTTTCTGGCACGGCAGCTCCTGGAGCAGCTGCAGGTATGGCGTCAAACAGAACATCGCCACGGGCGACTGAATAGGAAATAATTAAATCCGACTGAATCTGGAGCCACATTTTAAGGGTCAGACTCTTCCAGAATGGCTACGAGGTCAGGTTACAGCCCTCTTGAGCCCAAACGTCTGAAACTCTTGTTAAATGATGACTGTCTTCAGTGGAATAAATTCTTGAACACACAAACACTTAACAAACGTTTGAAAAAACCTGCAGACACTTTCTGGTCTACCTTTACTTTAGATTTACATGTATTTTTGCAGGTTGAAAATTAACAGAAGATGTGCATCCAAACTGCTGGAAGACACTGGCAACATTGCCAGTGACAAAAATGTTGGACACTGTATGCAGTCCCAGGAGCGATGTGACCAAGATCTTGTGATGGCAATAGAGGCACTATGACAGGTGACACTGACTGTGTCAGAGGGGCAACAGATGGCACAGTCATCAGTCATTGCACTGTACACATAAGTGAAGAAAATTCCAAGAGGCAACATGACCAGAGTCATCATCGCGAGTACTAAAAGGCATTGAGACCAAGGTCGATGACAGCATAGTGTAACCATGGGCAGCGGCAGTCATAGAGGCACCATGAATAAGGTCACTGACAGATCAATGACTGAGGTCACTGATAACAGTGACAGAGGCACGGTGGCCCGTATCAGAACAGTCTGAGGCACTGAGAAAAAAGGTCAATGACAGATAACGTGTGACTCGGGTCAGCGGCAGTCACAAAGGAACTTTGACCAAGGTCAATGACAGTGACAGGGGCACTAAAACCAAGGTCAATGACAGATACATGTATCGTGTGACCAGGGTCACCAGCACTAATAGAGAAACTTTGACCACAGTCAATGACAGTGATAGAAGCACGGAGACCAAGGTCACTGTCAGCTACAGTATGACCATGGCCAGTGACAGTCTTAGAGGCACTGAAACCAAGGTCAATGATGGGGCACTGTGACCAAGGTCACTGACAGTTGTAGTGGGACCAGGGTCAATGACGGTGACAGGGGCACTGTGACCAAGACAAATGACAGTGATAGAGGCACTTAACCAAGCATATAGACAGTCATGGAGGCACTGAGATCAAGGACAATGACAGAAAAGAGGCACTGTGTTTGACCTAACAGGAAGATTTGGCATGAACCAATAGACAAGACAGACAAACTGGACTGCAGGCAAGATGTGGCAATAAAATGCCTCTCTTAAGACGTTCGTATTCACTCAAGAAATGCACTTCTGGAATTGTTTGAAATGCGCCCAATGCCCATGTGAAACAAAAGATGATGCAAGTTATCTGCTGTTGACCTCTCTTCAATTACATTGTTGATTACAGCTGACCAACAGATCTGAGGAGTGGCTTTAGTGCTGGGGATTGGCAGTTTGATATGGCTAACCTTTTGAACAAAATTTGCAGAGGCACATTTTGCAAAGTAAGGAACACATCAGTAGCAATCAATGAAGATGTTAGGTTCCTGTGTGATACTTTCAGAGAAGAATAACAAAACTGGGACCTTTTTTTCTCCGGTAGTTTTCCAATTATACAACTTCAAGCACTGAATCACAACACAAGCTGTAACCTTGACTCGGTTAATTTTTGGAATGCATTTCTTCAGGCATGATCACAAGGCTTTGTAACATTACTTCAGAAAAATGAGAAATCTAACTTCCTGGAAAAATTCCTTGAGGAAACACACAAAGTAAGAACTCTCAGCACAGTGATGAATGTAGAGACAAATCTCAACACAAAGAATACTTTTCCATTCACAAAAGGTAATTAACTTCCATCCTCCATTTTAAGTTATGAACAAGAAGTCATTACAGGTACATGTATGTCGAGGTGCCAGACGTCCACATCTTTGTCAAAGCAACTTCAATTTTGCAATTCAAGCAAACCAAAAGACATGCAATATTTCATGTATTAGGCAGTAGGTCAAAGAGCCATTAAAAAAAAAACAACATAATTTGGTCTCCATGCAAGGGATTTTAAGTGTTATAGAGTACAGAAGTCAATACGTCAGGTGCACCTTCATGCATGTAAGAGGCATTAACATGAGCACCAGTGTCTGAACCAACACTGTTGCCTACTCCATTTGTTTGTACGGCACTTCCTGGTTCTAAATGACGTCACACTTCGGTACTCTATATCGCCAATGAAAAAAACCAAGAAACCTGAGGTGCAGATTAGTATTGAGTACCAAGGTCGTGCTGGACATACCCTACAACATAATGGCTCCACAGCCAGGTTTCTGGGAACTCAGAACGGACTTTTGGCGAGTTGGGAATGGACTTGGGTGTTGATGGCCTTTTGGGTGCCACGCCCTGACCTGAATCAGCCCTAGGAGAGGGCATTCTTTCGGCATACTCAAAGGCCATACGCCCTGCTTAAAAAGTGATCAAAACAATCAGTGAATATAGCAACACAAGAAAACATTTCATCAACTTCCTCTAACAGATCTAAATGAGCATTTCAACGAAAGAATAACCTTTTTGGGTCTTGAGCCTACTTTGAAATAGTCCGACAGCCTTTCCATCTTCGCAACCTATCGATGGCTTTTTCCACAAATTTCATTGTAAGCCAAAGGCCAGTCTTTACACCTGAAAAACCTGGCAAAATGGTTCAACTTTGTCGATTCCTAGTCCCTGTACAACCTCTGACTGCCCCAGCAGTGTAGGAATTTACAGATTCATCAAGGAGTAAGTACAACATAATACAAGGTAACAAAAGTCCCCAATAAATCTGACCATTCAGACATACGGTTTGTGATCAATGCAGGATTTCACTTACAATAAACATCCGGTGCTGTCTCCCCATACACTAGGGCATCAGTGAACACCAGTATGCCAGCCGACTGCATGGAATAAGAACAAACAGTCATCAATATCATCAACAGCACAAGCCAAATTATATTTCCAACTTTCCTCTTCTGCTCTTTACTTCGCTCATCTGCTCACAGAGAACTAACCAAGCCTGACCAAGTGTGTGGATGACGCTGAATGGTCATATTCCGCCCAGCAATGGCTGCACCTAACTCTCTGGTCTAGAGCAGGGCTGGGTCGTTTGATTGGGAACTGATCAGCGCCCACTGATCAGTTCATTGAGTTGTTGGACACATTCAACAGTGACTGCTGCATATACCCAAGTTGAATATACTGTTGAACTGCAACTGCATGCAGAGGGCATGGTCGCGGCTCTTCATGAAAAAATTCTGTCACGGTTTGGAACATGACATCTTTGGAACGTGCTTTACGTGGACTGAGAAATCAAAATGCAGACTCGTACACAAACAGAATTTTTCAAATGTACAGAGGAAATAATGAATGTTTCACATTTGTGCAATGGAAAGAATTTCACTGGTCACAGACTGAATTGCATTTGGCTTCGCCTACTGGAATTGAACTCCAATATATCACCTAATGAAATTAATTTTGCCACCCCAATCATAAAGATTCGCTATTTGTATACTACTATTTCATGTTCACCATTTTACCAGTGACTGGTGCCTAACTTACATTCAAAACCTCACGGGCGGTATCCCCCGGGATGGGGAACGGCCACCAGCCACAGCACCAGGCTGAGCGCTTCCTTCGAGCCACTGCCCGTCCGAATCCAACGTCATACACATAGCCATCGTTTCCACTGCTAGTTGTGTCAAAGTCTTCTAGGGCATCTACCACCTGTGTAGACCGTATACAAGTTGAAGGGTACCCAATTTAAGGGAGGCCTTGAGCAATATGTCCATGAACTGGGGCTTGAGGTTTATTAAAGACATGATTATGATGGATGTGATAATTTCACTGAAGGATTTTCTGGATAAAAGCTACAAAATGTGAAAATGTTTAAATTCTCTGCAAAAAATTCTCTTTGAAAACAAAGCTATTTTGGTTGGGGAAGTGGACAGTTGGCAGGAAAAAAGGCTTCTCAATGGTTATCCATGCAGGACCTTTGATCTTTGACCCACCATGCTCTGTGTGATGTCATTTCCAGTCTTGAGAAGCATAACGCTGGTGTCAATAGCCAGGACTCCCACATAAGCATTTCTCTCGGCGGTTATGTCCAACTTAATGCCTTCTCCAGGTTCCACCTCCTCCTTGTTGAAATTAATCGTCACCTTCAGAGGTATCAGAGTGAAATCTTGTCAACTTGTTATCCAGTCATTTCCAAATAAGTGGAGTTTTTGGGGTAATAAACGAGCTTGAATTGCTCAGAATTTGTCTCCTCTCACACAAAGATGCAGTGGATTTGTGCACATTCAACTGAAATTTGGACATATAATCCCTACTGTTTGCATACGCAAGTGGGCAACAAAATGCAATCTACAGTTCTGGCACAAGGTTACAGGCCACTGGACTGGGCCTCACCTCATTCTCAAAGGCTCCTTCCACGTTGATGTTAATGCTGTCCAGCACTAACTCGTGATTGTCGGGCCGGACATATGACACAACCAGACGAGCCTGAGGCGCCATGGCTGACGTCACGTCAATGGTGAGGACTGTATTAGTGGAAGTGACACTGGTGAGGGAGTTGGCCAGAACAATGTTTCCCTTGGAAAAGACCTGAGAAAGACATAGATTCCAAAGCAGGTTTAAATGGGGTCAAACCTGACAAGAACTATAAAAATTTGACACATCTCTTTTTTTGTGAAAATGAAAAGAAAACATATCCAACAACATTACAGCCTGTCAACTTGCTCTGCAGGCATGTCAACAGTCGATATTGTCCACACAGGACTTTAATCTTTTGCATTAAATATCAACAAGAAAAAAGCACTTCATGCAAATTTAAACTCTTTACTGATTCAAATTCACTCTAGCTTTCAAAGAGTAACTTTAATGTTTGCATACATCAGGACACTGACGTCTCATTTTCCTATAATTGATTCCTAGGTATCTCTTGCGCTAGCCTTTGCCTTAATATGACGTGACAAGTTTACTTGTCTGTGGCTGTCATTGTGCAAGGCTGCAGACTGTATGGAAGCCACTGGCTCCACTGGGACCATAGACCTCAGCCACAGCCAAGATGTCAGACAAAGCTTGACGCACCTGATAAGTTAGCTTGGGCGGCACCTCCGTTGTTCTGATCTCAAAACTGGCCTGAGTCCCAGCCTATTGGAAAGATAAAAATGCAGCAGACATAAAGATGGCTTCAAACCGGGACAGTACTCCACTGAAGTCAACTCTCAGACTTTGAGCAGCAAAGTAAGGGGTCAGTTCTGTATTCTGACAGCACGTGCCCAAACGTTAGTGCTTCGCACATGTAGCTCATTCCAAAACAGCAGTGCACACGTGCAAGGTTGGCCCAATCAGCACAGCCATACGACATCCACTCAAATAAACAGAACACACTCAAGCTGGCATGAATTGTTTTCAAATGACCATGCCTTTTCAAAAAAACCGAAGTGGCTCATTGGCAAAGATCTTTCCAGCTATTTTCGACATTTAAAAAAAAAAAGCACTTCCAACACCAAAATGCAGTATACTTATTCCAAACATTGCATAACGTACAATGACGACATCTTCTCTTTCACACTTTTAAGGCATCACCACTAACAAAGGAAGCCCCAAGGATAGACGTGACAGCTGGTTCCCGCATTCACTTGATATGCAACTCTTACCTGAAGGCTGGCACCCTGCGCAATGATCTGCAGGAACTCACTGCTTGGGGAGTTGGCAGGGCTGAGATACTTTTGCACATCATACCCATAGGCTCGTTCATTGTTGTCGTAGTAATAAGCAACCTACAAAATGACAACAGGAAAGTTTTAACAACATACAAGATCAAGGGCACATCTAGAGCCAAATTTTTATTTTATGGAGGACGGAGGACTTTTTTTCAGGAGTAAAAAAAATCGGAATTTCTTGGAAGCTACCTTTTCTAGCATTTCTGAGGAGTGAGGCTATACTTGAGAGCTTTTTACTTCCTTTCGGAACAGATATAAAAAACCCTTCCCCCCAAAAAAAATTGCTTGTATCTCATTATTTCGCAAGAATAAAACTTCTTGTATGTTCCTTTTTTAGGAGGGGGAGGGTGGTCCCATGCCCCTCCCCATTCACCAATGGATAACACTGCTCCAAGAAAAACTGCCTCTTCTTACAACGCACTGGATGTGCAGGGCTTCAGAAATCGCTGCAAAGAAACCTTTGTCTACACTGACAGCACAACTTCATTTCCTCCTCTTTAGATTAAACAGCAACAAATGATCTCATTTTTCTCCACCGAACTTACATCCAATCCCTAGCATCTCATGTACCTACACTTCAGCGGCAGTGGGATCAACAGTTGGCTTGTGTATAATCCTGAACCAATCAAGGGACACATTCACCCCAAGACTTTTCTGCAAGAAACGATCAAGGGAATGCCACTCCCTGCATACCAAGAAATTGGCCGAAACCGCCTCGGTGGGAAAGCTGAAGTCGAGTTTAATGATGCCGTCCTCTGGGATGACCACCTCTGCATCAATCGCATCGACTGACTCTCTGCTTCCCGACACCGTGTAACTGTGGGTGACCACCAGCCGGCGCCTTCTCTCTGCATCAGTTAAGGAGGTCTCATCGACATGGGTCACTTTCACCTATAAGCAAAGGGAAAAAGAGGTGTATTGTTCTGCCACCTCCTCCAATACAATTTATCATAAGAACATGACAGAAAGCGGCCTTTAAGAGAGTAGAGCCAATCAACACTTAAAATATATGTCAACTTTACAACTTTTCAAGTATACTACCAAAGCTGGTTTACTATGCACCAGGGATTAGACGGGGGGCGGGGGGAGAGAAATCCATGAACCACCCAGCGGCATGGCTCTAACAAAGGCTAGAGAAGATACTATGACTTTCCAGGTCTTTTCAATAGCTAACAGAGCATGAATTCTTTCGTACATATTGTTTTTTATGTCAAATGAAGAAAGCACACATAGCCAAACCTTGATGATGAAACCTCTCAAAATCCACAATTTTGGTACAAACACTTTGAATATCTGGAAACAGATATCTTGCAAAATCACCCCCTGACACTTACGTAAGCTGTGTACAGCAGGCCTGGCTTGAACACCTCTGGGTTTCCTGGCAATTCAGCCACTTTAATCGGTTTTTCCTCATAGCCGAAGTAACCGACTCCGGTCTGCTGGATGCCAGTCAAGGACTCAGTCACGTTGGCCGTGCAGGTGAACCTCGCCCATCTGTACAGATTGCCGTAATACAGATCAGCAAGCTCGGCCTTTGTCACCACTGTCTCTCCTTTGCCGTCAATCTGAATGTTACGGAGGAGAAGGGAGAAACCATGACACGACCCTTTTTTCAGTGCCGAGTTTCAAAAAGTGAGCAAGGTGAGTTCTTGTAGAGCGTCATATTAAGCAAAGCAAGTGCAAAGCAAGAGGAAGAAATTGAAAATTCCCTGGTTTGTGATTGCTTCCGACTAGTCATTTGGTAATGCAGAAGTGAAATTGAACATATCCCATGAGGAAATGCACTGGGAAAACAGGATCTGAGAAAACACCATTCATGCCAGTGATATAAAAAAATCACATTTCAATCCATAATGGATTGAATGCCGGTATATAAAAACCTAAACAATATCAGTGGCTTACAATCCAACTGCTCTTTAATTGAATGTTATGCCATGAGCACCCAAGACTAATTTTCCAATTGCTGGGAAGGAGTTTACAGGCTTTGTATGTCACCATCTAAGAAAGCTACTAACTGCAAATGCAGTTTACCTCAAATTCAACATGGTATGGTTTCCCACCACCCAACACCTGCAGGTCCATTGAAACAGTTCCTTTCACTGGCTCCCCGTATGTGTACCTACCAAAAAAAAAGAAAAATTGGAAGACAAAGGGAAAAAACCCACTAAGTTTACCTTCGATGAGATCCCAAAGAAATTTTATGGCCATTTTTAGCAACCAAGACGATACTGCTCACGATGACACGGTGAGCTTCACTCAGAATTTTCTGTTGGGTTTTTTTTCCCACCTCTAAAACTGTAACCGCTTCTCACTGTCTCCTCTCTACATGTTTGTAGGCTTATGGGATTCAGTCCCAAGGGCACTTTTGAGGAATCCTTGGTTTCATTACCAGAAATGTTTGATCATAATAATAACATAAAAAGGGGCTCAAGTAATTGGAACTGAATGTACCGGTTACTGCTTTTCTGGGGAAGCTGACCTACAACTTTCTCTTGACTTGAGATTGGTACAAAACCAAAAAAAGGACATGCTTTTACTTGGCAACGAGGTCCCATCCAGCCATGCACACCAGCTGATTCAAACGGCCAATTTGGACACGCAATGTGTGGACAAACTATGCTTACCATACTCAACAGTACCAGTGGAGAATGATAAATGTAGTTACCTGATTGGGTCAGGGTCCCAAATTGGAAAATCAGGTAAATCATGTACAAAATCTTACAGGAGCCCTTCAGAAAAGTTTCAATCAAACAAAAGGAGAATTACAGATTGCAGGTGATGCGTGCTTGTTTGAGTTGACTTGTGCATGGTCGATGTGCCAAACACAGATCACTCACAAATCCCTTATTACAATTCTGTCATACAGTACTTACTTAGCTTCCACTGAGATAGTAGCCTGGGTGTCTGTGCTAACAATGTAAGGTGGTGGTGTGACAGTCACCTCAAACTTCGGCAGAACTGGAACCACAAAAGTGGGAAAAAACACCAGTGCAGCAATCACTTTTTAAGTGAACTCATTTATGTTTCAAGGTTCTGCAGAGTACGAAGAATCTCCCTTGAAGCTTGAAAGTAGCTAGGAGGAAGATTTCGGGGTGACAGGGAACTACCGGTATACGGATAGACAATGAAAATAAATCTCTTTTCATAATATGGTGTGTTGGTTTTTCCTCTATGGCACTGCAGTAATATGGCCTACTAACATCAGGACAGACTGTGATCACTGATGAAGTGCCTTGTGTCTAGTTAATCTTCTCCCTACAACAACTCATTGTGAGAAGTAGGAGAGTTGTTACACTTAAATATCCCAGATTTCAGGAAAATTTAAAGGTGGGTTTTCACTGACTGTATGTTTGTTCCATTAACAGCTATGAGAGAATAGGACAACATTGGCAAATGATGGAAGACAGACATTGCAAGAGTCCAACAGATGGCTGTTTCCACATGGTCTGCTAATTTGTTATAAATGGTGCATGCTCCAAAAGAAAAGAAATCCACAAATAAAAATTCAAGCTTTTGGTGGGTTCTCTTACCATATTCATCAATAGTGATTGTGTGATCGTACGCATTGTTCTGTCACAAAAATAAAGAGAGTATTGGAGTAAGAAAAACAGAATTCAAAATAACCAAGGGGGATGTTCTCCGAGCTCAATTGAAAAGCCTGGTGTCAAAGTTTGCCTTCAAGTCACTGAGTAAACACTCGGTGATACTTTCGCCCAACAACTGAATGTGTAGACACTGCGATAACACCTCGGTTGTACATAGGAGACACATTAAGCAGATAACCATTGCCTGGAAGCAACTGAAGCATCAAGCACGATTAACTGCACTAAATGTACACGTGTGGTCGACAAAACAGACAGGTGCCAAGGGTTCCAACAGGCATATTTTAAATAACAGCTAAGGTTTTAGATAAATTGACATTTTAGACATTTGAGCAGCCACATACTTTCACGCAGTGCTCAAAGCAGTTGGTTCTCTTGGCAACTGCTTTACCAGGTAAAGTTTGTAAATAAACGTATTTGCAATTTGCCAGGATTGAAAATTGCATCAATTCCAACTCTTAGGGTTTGATTAAGCATCAATGTGCCCCTCTGTGTACAGTAAAACTTGCAGGGTGAATGGCATAATAAGTCCAACTTTTAACATTTGGGTTTGGTTCAAACTTTGGGAAGAATGCATGAACAAATGTCTGATCCAACCTAACCAAATAAGTCTGTGGCAGCCCAGAGGTACTTTTGAGTTTTCAGTTTAAAGTATCTTGTGCAATGTCAGTCAGTAGTAACTACACTAATGGAAAACTGGATGAGGCGTCAAAACAAAGAGCTGAGGTTTTCCTAGGGCAAACTTCAACAGAAGTATTGAAAAACATGGCCATCTGATTGCATGAAGAGTTTGTGAATATTGTTCAAACTCGTAGATGTCATATTCATACACGACGCTGCACTGCTTCCGCAGACTGGGCCGTGAGCTATACCAAGTAGTCTGCTGAACTCCTGAGTGCTGATGACTTACATTAGCCGTGACTGTGATCACCCAATCCCCCAGTACGGGAGTCTCTGACATGACTGTCTCCCCAGAGACAACGCCGTAGGTAGTGTTCTGAAGATTCATCCACTGCTGGATAACATTGCCATTCGGATCCTGTCCAATCAGAAAACAAAATAACATGGTGCTGTCTGAGGGTCAAACACCCCTACTCTTCCCAAATAAATTTTCTTCTTCCGTCCTTCAAACCTCGGCACACATGTAAATGTAGAACCATAAATCAGGCTAATTTAGCAGAGCTAAGCAAGGTAATTTGCATAAAAATACAATGTAGTTGCTTTGCAACAACCTGTAATCAGAAAAAACAGCATGGGTGTGCGGTATGCAGCTTGGGACTAGTACAGTGTACAAGCAAATTTTCTTTCAACAGGCTGTGTCCAAAAACTGGTTTCCAGAGTTACAGCTGCATTTATTGTAAGCATGTCCCATGTACATGTACATATATTTCCAATGGGGCAAAGACCTTGATGATTTTGATGCAGCCAAAAACCACCTTAGAACAGTCTCATTTTCAAATGCCTTACTACATGAAGTTACGACAAGGCTTTGAATCAACTGCTTCAGCTGAACTCTGCTTTGAATAATCCTTGCACAAAGTGATGACCATGTCCCATCAACACCCCAACACAAACACAACATACATGTAAATAGAGGGTAGGGCTTTAATATCCTACTCTTGACAATTCTTAATCTGCTTGAAAAACATTAACCGTAAAAGTCCAAAATCTTCCAATTTCAAGATGTTTACATGCCTTTAGAGGTTTCAGCTAATGACCCTTCCAAAGTTTCCCATACTCTTAAGAGTTGTTAGATGTTATTAACTACAGAAAAGATTCATTAGCATTGCAACAGGGTATCTTGTTTACCTTCAGTATGACGTCAAATGTTCCCATGTAGGGCTTCAGATCAGGATAAATTGCCATAGCTCTGAAATGGACTGATGGACCAAGCAAAGACAAATTCTTTTCATTACTTTTCATTTCAAAATTTCAATTTTTCCCTCTTCCCAGCCCCGCCCCCAAAAGTTAGGAATGAAAATCATCAACTTTACTAATAACTTAATAAACTATGCATTTTCTTTATCAAAGCATGACAACTTACAGTTGGTGCATTCAAAAATGAATTATGATCACCAAATCCAACATCATGATCACAGATTTTTAAACGACCTCTAAGCATTATTGATAAAAGGAGTGCTGCATAGTGCTGTATGTTGCAGATAGGCCATGGAAATTTTGGAAACTTTGGATTTTTACAGTGGAAGGAGTTACAAGTTCAGCAAGATCACACTACCTCCTATTATCAATATCAAATGCTTGATTACTTTACACTGAAAACAAAAAAAAACAAAACATACAGAAAGGGGGCTCTTTGGCATTTTGGGGGCAATTGAGCAATCTTAATATAGATCTAGCCTGACCTAAACATACTGTACATGTGTTCTGTTCAGAGGATGCTCTTGCATGCCTGCCTAGTATAGTGTATTTTGTTCTATGTACTTACTAGGCACATGTGTACTGGTACTTATTCCTTAATTGTGAAGGCTACACGCGTTACATGTCAATATTGATAGATATTGTGGGCAGTGTTAGCAGCGTTTTTTAAATAAAAAAAATCAGTTCTGCTTTAATCAAATCACAGGTGTATCACGGGTATACCTCACAGAGGGCACAATTTCGTGAATCCTTGCATGCTAGTGGGATTTTGGAATTCCTGCAGATACATGTACATGCAACTGCCCCACGATGAAGCTGTTAAGAATGATGAATCAGTCCAGGTGCCCCTTGTGAGGTGCAGAGTACATGTATGTTGCATAAATTATGGTGGCAAACGTCAATACAGGAAACAGTAATCAAGTTGAGGTACATGTACACTATCTTTAGCACTATTCAGCAAACCAGATTTTATTCTTTGCAGGGCAACAAAGGTGCTAGCAAGTCACACAGCAACTGGAAAAATCAGAAAGGCAGACAGCAGGGTAGTATCCGCGGGGAAGATATGTGTACATGAATTATGGATACAGACATAATCTCCATTGTACACAAATTTGGAGAGACAGCTTGAAACAAGATATAGAGTCGTGGAAGTAAAACTGAACCAGTGTCAAGCGGAAATGAACATGGCAGAGAGAAAGGGTAATTAGCGAGGAAGGCTCAATGTATGGTGACAGTACTTTTAAAAGTACTTTTGTTACATCCTTGTGAAGAAGAGGTGGCATCATCATAATGAACAAGCCTAGCTGATGTACAGGCAGTGAAGAACATACATGCATTTGTAGTAATTGAAGGTGTTCTTGCATGAGTGATCCAATCAAAATAAAAAGAGGTTATCGGTAACAATGAATAAGTTATTACATGTACATGTACATGCATTTTTCATCTACAGTAGCTTATTATAGATTTGGTATGGTGGTAAGTAATGTGTAGCCATCATATGTTACACTGTATAGAACTGAAACATTAAGGGTTTTCTAATGACATACATTGTAGATCGCTGTTGCTAAAAACTGGAAATAACTTGTAGAGTTGTTTATACAGACGTTGTTATCTGGCAGTTCCATAGTGAAAAATGACTATTTGTTTGCCAGCGAGTTGCCTGAAGAAATGGTACTAGTAGCATGCAGGAAAAAAATCTGTGACACATCTAGAGAAGAGACAAAGCTGACCAAATTTATGAGGTTCCCATGGGTGTTACATTGGGGCAGACAGTTCAGAAGTAGGCCTACTCTGTACGTTGCCCTCGTTTCCATGGGAACACATGTCAGTCACACTAGTACCAGGGGAGGGGGGTAGCTTGTCAAGATGGAATGCATCACATGTACACGTATATTTTGGATTCACATGCCGGTGGATTTCAAGACAATGATATGGAAGAAACATTTCTAATTTACATGTACATTGTACCATGTACATGTACATGGCAAGATGTGTACTGAAACATGTACTGAACTTTGAAATTCCATCGATCGTGGTCACAAGTAACAATCTGAAATCAGGTGTTAATTACTCTCTGGATAGGCAGTGCTCTAGTTTTGCAAATAATTAGGACTACAGCAGTCATACACAAGCATAATGGAGATTGTACATGTGAAACTTTGCCATAGCCAACATGATAGCCATTTTCATATTTGTTCCAGTGATGTACAGGTACACTGTACATTTATGCAAAGCCGTTTTGTATCAGCGGTTTGGTTGGGCAAAAAGGTGTACAGATGACCACAAGATCATCTAGGAATGTAAGCAGACGGGATACGACAAGTCTGAGAAAAACTGAAGGCGGGGGTCACACACAATTGTAATACACAGGGGGAAAAAAACAGCAAAGACAAAAATACAAAACCATGTTTCTTCCCAGCAACAAAATGCCTGACCTGTCTGTCCGGGTTTGTAGATGGCTTTGTCCGTCTGCACCAAGATGGCAAAGCTCTTTGGTGAGAACTTCAAGTCCTCCGTCTGAGAAAACTCAAGCCCTCCACTCCCCTCGATGCGCAGCTTGTATGAGTCACCCTGCTCATCAGCTGGCATCTACAAATTGGACAAAGTAATGCGATTTACTCATCATAAAACAATGGAAGCCATTTGAAATATGCAATGTTCACATCAATATGTAAGCCCCTATCACTTACATGTCATCGCCTTATGGCAAGAGTCATGATTAGCAGATTCTGGATTATTAAGAGAATTTACATACATGTGAAGATCTTACACTAAACACTTATCGTGGAGATGACGACAGTATTTTTATCAAAAATGCCAATTGCTGTCCTAAATAAAACTCTTTTCTCACTGTACATATCTGTCTGCTATTTCTATGTCTTTCCACTTTCCACCATGCTAATCTTGCTTCTCTTGTTTGGTCAACACACATGTACAAGTGGTTACAGCAAACTTCACCGTACTTCCATGCAAGCATTATTCCCACTGTCGTGTTTCAACACAAAAAAGTTAGCACAAACATTTCATTCTCGCACACTGCATTTTTCTTCGATTGTCTTAAACTCTACTCTCACCACATTTAATTCACACACATACCGGTACATCGTTTTATGCAAATGCTAATTGGTATCAGACTGTCTTCCTCATTGTCACAAATCCAACTCTCAGGTTTCTATTGCCACTCGAAACCAAATAGCTGTTTTCCCTCTTTCCTGGTATCGCATGTGTTTGGCATGAAGTCATAATGCAATGTCACACCAGTGACTACATTTTAAGCACTATACATGGCCATGACTTAACCAGAACAGCTCTACAAGACAGGACAAAGGATTTGGACGATTTTTGCCTAATATCAAAAATTGGACCTTTCTTCTAACAATCACTGACCTTTTAAATATGCCCACCCAAACAAAGCCATATAAAATGTGACAAACTACAGCATACATAATGTTATGTAGCTTCTCAATTATGGCTACAATGGCAAATCAAAAGCAGAGTTATCAATAATAAAACCCACCACAAGACCAGCAACTCTGGTTGCACCCGGGGAGAATGTTTCCGACACTGAAACCACAGAAGTCTCGGTCAGCTCTTCAGTTTTCAAAATGGTGGCTGTCACCACAACATCGCTGGCTGCATCCAGGATGGAGACACTCAGGCTCAGGGGTAGGCCAGGGTGAATGGTGTTAGGAGCTAAAACAATGTAGGTCCTACCCCCAAAAAACGATCCAAAGAAATTGGGAGTAAATTTGAACGTGAATCACGTTTGGACTTCATTCAAAAAGGACGAACCAATGTTTTCAAGACGTGCAATCTTCGCTATACTTCCAGCTTCTCTGATTGGGAGACTTTGAGACGCTTGGTGGCGACAAACATACATGTACATGTACCAGTCCTTGTTGTTCTGAGCATGTGCTTGTTGTTCTGAGCATGCGTGCATAGTTCTAAGCATGTGCAATATGCCTTGAAAAAGGACCAGTATGTCTGCTGCCACCAGCGTCTCAAAGTCTCCCACAGAAATAATGCCCCAATGCCCACAGAATTAACATATAAATGTACACACATGTACTGTACTGTGTGCTAGACAAAATATCCTACATGCAATAAAGCAGGTGAAGTGTGCACAAAAGCACACAGTACCTTCGTGCACATAAAACATGTGTACAGCAATGTATTCAAGCATACATGTAGCTCACTTCGGGGTCTGTCATGCATGAAGAAATTATTAAAATAAATAAAAGGCCTGGATAAACAGCACGTTTCAGGCGTACACAAACCTGTGCATGTACAGGTATTTATGGTAATATCTGTACCTTGAATAGACTGGTGCCGGTGTGGTTTGCCTCTGGCCTGCACATCCCTGGGTGAGTAGGGCCAGGCAAATGAAACCAGCAGCTATCATCACGTTCATCTCAGTAACGAAGTCCAATGCCTTTGGGTGAAAAATTGAAAAGCAAAATGATTTTTCTAAAAAATCCTACATGTTTTATACATAAATTCAAGGTAAAGTGCATGTCTGTGGGGAATGAACACAGAAAATGCCACGGGCATGTCCATTGAGCGAGTGCCATAATTATCCAATACGGATATACGCTCAGATCCTCTGAGACTCATTGCGATAATTATTGAACCTCTGTTCCTGTCATTATATGGGCATCGACTCCCACGGCATTTTGCTCCAGTTGTACTTAGAGCTAATCAGGTCCCTTGACGAGGAAGCCTCTAATGATAGAGGTCACTATGGACATGATACATGGACAACTGGCATTTCAATCATGCTGAAACGTACGTCATCAAACGCAATATAATTACTATGGCAACAATATGGATCATGAATCGCATACAATCCCTTTTTTCAAGTGACCAAAAAAGATCACTTTTTCCGCCTGACGAGCTCCTGGCCCTTGCAGCCGAGGTAAAGTCAACAGAAACACGTTTCGCTCCCCTCTTTGCAGGGTAGCATGTGTGGATGAGGGAAGGGGTGTTACATGTAAAAGAGGAATATCTGTCTTGATATTCAAGTACATGTACTGTACTTGGCTGACAACGTTCATCCCCACTGAAGCCTCTGACGGTATCTGCAATGAAGCCTGCACTTGCAGCACTGGTATCCACAAACACTTTGATGATGACAAAACAAGTGCAACTGAAGGCAACATACTTATCATGTGCAGAAGAAGCCGTCAGGTGGTGTCGAATACATTTACATGTTTGCATTCACTACATACATATGTATTTAATCAGTGACAGTGTACATGTACATGTACACACATAATAAATAGAACAATGCGCAGTGCATTGTATTTGGTGTCGCTAAAATGAAGAGCATACTACAAGTGTACAGAACTAAATAAAAAAGATATTTTGGGGATTCTTGGGGATTGGGCCTAATAATAAAAGTACGGTACATACAGTACGTACAGTATGTGAAGATTTGAAAAGTATGCTAAACTGACCAGGGCTAAGCAGAGAACTTAGAACATGAAATGGCACAGCCATTAACCCTAACCACCAAGCATATTGTTTGGCTTATACTACACAGTACTACAAAATACTAAGTTATAGTCTGAGCCTGAAGGACCTAGCGCTACAGATTACTACTTCTGGCTAGGTTACTTCCATTGTTACTTGTAAAGAGAACAATAAAGCCATTCATAGTGCCAGAGCATTGTATGATACATTATCTTATCTATTGTATTGTATGGCTTCTGAGCACAATAAGGTCATGTCCTCTTACAAGTGACAGCGCTCACTACTACATTTTCTACAAGTAATATTTTGTAGTATTATGTAGGGTTAGGGTTAAATGAAATTGCAGTGCCTTGAATTATAGTACATGTACGGTAACAAACTCAATAAAAGGGGCAACTTGTGGGTATTGCATGTACGAAACCATGACTTTTGGAATTCAGAGACAGAATTTTGGCAAGGAAGAATACACAACATAACCCCCATTCTTATACCCCCAAAATTTATACCTCTTCAAACTTAACATTTCAAAGTAGATAGATTTATTAACAAAATAAAAAAATGTTCAAAATTTGAAAGCCATAATTCTGAGCAAGGCGCACAAGAGTCAGCATCCACTGGGCAGGTTTTGCAAACAAAATCTTAAGTGTCTCAGGATGTTACAAATGACTTTAAACAACCAGTGTTTACACCAGGTTTAGCATTAGATAACTTTTGAGAATTTGTTATTTTCAAGAAAAATTTGGACATTATACCCCTACATCAACACACATTCTGCCGTCCGGAATGAAAATGTTGTATTTATGTATCCCAATGTTACTCGAACTCTTTAAAAAAATGAACTGTAGAGTAATGCCGTGTTAAGCTTAACCTTGAGAAAGTACACAAACCTGTTTATGGTCCAATGAACGATGTGGGGTTTCGTGTGTAAATGGGACACTGAAGTTTGGGTGTCCCATTAACAGAGGGGAAGCTGAATCTTAAATCCTTGATCTGAATTCATTGCTAGGTACATGTATTTTGAAGAAATATAACTTCCTTTTTATATTTCATTATCTATCAATTTACATGTACATGAACTACACTGAACATATGCACCATTTTAAAATACTTGGAAATCCACCTGTTAAATTTCCATGTAAAAAGAAAAAGCGCACAAAAGTAACACTGACAAACGAAAATTATCTTGTTGCGTGCCTTCGTGACTCCAATGAACCTTTGGCCCCACTTTTTGCCCAGACAGGTGGATGGAATTTCACACCAATCTACTCTATACAAGATTCTCCGAAACTGTGTTTTCTCATTCCAACGGTGAAAAAAATTATAATCTGCATGGACCAGGTTTGAAATATTCTGTTATTCCTTTCATAAAAATTACGAAATGTAGATTAAAAAAAAAACCATGCTGCAATCTGAAAGATTGTACTGTTTATTTTATTCAAAAAGGTTAGCTAATTTGTAGGTCAACTGATGATTGGAATGCGAAGTTTCTTTGAAACACTCTGACAACAGGGACTTAATTGAACAGGTCTCACATGTAAATTGTAATTCAAACAATTACACATGTTCATACTGTAAGTACATGTATACAATAAAAGTCCCATGTATTTGTGTCGGGGTGAAATACACAATACAATACCACTTCTTACAATGCCATAAATTGTTCATGTGTAAATTATAAAGGTAAAGTGAGCAGTTGTGTGTGAAAAGTTGATACCTTCTGATGTTAAGGCATTCCATAAAAATAAAATTGTGTCTTTTGCACAAGTTGACTATTTAAAAATTTAACACGTAGTCTAAAATTCAGATGCATGGCACAAATGACCAGAACATGTCAGATGGCAGAATACACGTGTACATGTACTTTCACCTTTAAGAATGCAAGCAAATATCCAAACTGTTACTACATGTACAGTTGATTATCCCTTCAGCTGACAATAACAAGAATATTCACAGAAAATGTGAATCAACTGTAGAACAAAGAAACCACAGTATATCACAAGAAAGATTCCACAAATAATACAGTACAAATCATTTGCAAGGAAGCCAACTTACACTGAACATCTTTAATATATGATAGCAATATACAATTAACTCACTAAGCCTGCAAACAAGTGTGTGTTCACAGAACTGCTTCTGGTTACAGCGTGAAGGTGGTTACACCATGGAGGAGGTTACACTGAAGATATTCACTCTCCAACAACTGCAAGTCGAAATGATAACCCTGGCCAACAACTCTGTATTTGTGGAGATGAATGCGCAGCCCACCCACACTCAAGCCTCACTGACCATATTTTGCTCTATGATTATATACAGGGAAGCTTGCAAGATGACTACACAAACACAAAGCATGCAGCATAAAAGAAAAAAAGTGACAGGTGATCAATGTCCTTGTGTTGCACTAGTACTGCCTGGTACAGTCAGGCACTGGCATTAGCTGCACAACAGTGAACAATTTACAGGGCCTAATATGTAAACATGGTCAGGGATGAAACCAGGGACCACTTACACTAATAAGCTCTGAAATTTAAGCAATGAGGAAACCTGATTGTATGTAAAACACAGTGGACTAGTGGATAGGCATTCGTCACGTTCAGGGGACAAGGTCTTTTGTTAAGAAAACTTGAACCGAGTTGTGGGGACATTTCTGAGTCCGCAGAACATTTTCGGTCCCTACAAAATAGGCAAAATATCGAGTGTCTGATGTACATGTATGATATAAACAAATATGGTGCGGCAGTGGGCATTCTGTATCCACACTGTCACACTGAAATTAAAGCAGGAAATCCTGCTACTGCATACGGTAACATGAATGATGTATTACACATACATGTATGTTAGTACATGTACCTCTCGGACCATGATACATGTATGCATACATGTAAACATGTACATCTACAATGTACAATGTACCTCAAGGCTCAAACCACCTTGAACGATTGCAGTGAATATACTGGGATCCACACCACACTATGGCGCAGTATTGTAAAATTACACACTGTCCATGTACTTGTACCACTGCTAGAAATAATAAAGTGATCAAACCTTGGACTTGCAGTACACGGCCAACTGATGTGTGAAATAAGTTACCACGGTCTGACGGAGTGATGGGACTTCAAAAAAAGCAAAGCTGATCAATTGAAGACACTCTGTGCTTGGTACATGTGCATGTACTACCACGGTGTTGACACCTGCTATGGTGTCCGGCAGTGCTTGTTTGAGCCCAGCAACCCCTAGTTCCGCATACTTTGTAACTTGACAGTTGCCAAGATTGAATGAACAACCACAAGAGGAAGGAAAACTGAGCTACATGTACAGTACACATGTACACAAATGACAAACCACAGGTCTCTGGTGACTGTTTTTGCGAACCGAAGGTCAAATTTGTCACTATCATGATGGCAAGGTTATGGGGAAGTATCTTATTCTGGGAAAAGCAATTTCATTGTTAAATCAAGCCACCAAATACTGTATGTACATGTGTACTATGTAAATCCCAAAACTGTTATGATGGAACTACAAAGCACTTGTATTACTGGTATGTACCGGAATGGAAGAACATTGCATCCTTTAAGAAATGAAATGCATGAATGAAAGGCTTTTTCTAATCACATCAAAAACCTGAGACAAGAAGAGTCAATGGAGCCATTCTTATTATGCCAGGGTGATTTCTATGTAGATCTTCATGAGATACATCTACATGTATCATACAAATGCAGTGACTATTCTAATTTCTATTTTGCTATGTGTTTTGCAACAGCATTCAAAGTACAAATGTATCATCAAAGTGCCCGGTAATGGACCAGGCCTATTGCACATGTACATATGTGTTCTTCATGGTCATGATGGTTTATGCAGAATTTTATCAGTGAATAAACACTCAGCATACCTTATTTAAATCAAAAAAACTTTCCTTGAAGGTTGTATATTCAGAATGAACAAAAGCAGCTAGGGGATTATCCCAAAAATTTCCACACATCATACAGGCACAAGAATTGACTATCGGTTTTTATTTGACGACAGAATTACGACACAGCAACCCCAACTGTACAGGTGACAATACCAGACATTATAAATCAAAGTGCACACATCAAGAAAGCTAAAAAGTGGAGATCACTGAAAGTGTTGAAAGCGGAGCAAACATCGGCTGGAAGCTCTGGGATTATCAAGTGTGCAAACTAATAACCAATACGGGAAGACCCAAGCCTTAAATACCATCAGTCTGTTTACATACGGCACAACTTATCGAAGAGGTTAATAAAATCACGACAACATGTACATCAATAACTTTTATAAGAAAAACCACAGGTAATTTGTCCTTCAATGCATACATGTACCGGTACATAGCATGAGTGTTTCCTGTTCTCTCATTTTTAAACCAACAATGCCAACTTTATCATGCTTAACCATGAAACAAGGATGTACTGTACAGTGTACTAACTTCCTATTTCACACGTTTGTAAAAACTCACTTCACTTTCCAAGTTATTCTAGCCAACCTCCCCCCCTTCCATGATGAATTAAGGATCAGAACTTGCACAGAACCTATCATTAGCCAACCTCATATGCAAAGACACATTCTTGACACAGTTCTCCTATCAGTCAAAACCAGTCAAATTTCTCATATGTGTCTGTGTACTGGGGGAAATCAAGTGGAAGGAATTTTTGACTGTAGTTTTGACGGTTACAGCAAAAGGAAGGAGCTAGTGCCATTACAGGTACATGTATCTTCTCATTGCTGGAACCAAATTCCTTGAGGCATTTGCACAAACACCTTTCTACATCATCAATTCTTGCATTATTGATCAACTTGAAATCCATTGCTGCACAAACCATTGAGAAAGACACAGTGCAAGACTTCTGTATGTTGTGACCAAAGCCATTTTCCTGTGAATCAAGTCACTTGTCATTTTCCTCAAGTGAACTCACGTCACAAGTCAATTTTCTCAAGTTCTCAATTCATTGTTCACACCAGTCTGATGTCATACTTAGCATGCTACTTGTAACTTGATTGGACATCCAATTACTGATGATGTGACCCATGCTATTTTGCAAAACAAAGGCTTGGCCTGTCTGCCTATCTTCTTCCATCGCAGTATGCTCACATTTCCAAGAAAAAGTCAGTAGGCTATACTGTACACTGTAGTAAACAACGGAAAGTTTGGTTTTGCACAAGAAATACATTTTTCAACTGTTTACTATACACGCAATTCTCAAGTCAAGGAAAATTGTGACTCAAGTCCACGCTAGCAATTCAAGTCAGCAGGTCGACAACACTATTAATGAAGTTCTGCATCAACTGCACGATTACATGTACATGTGCAAGTTGACAAAATCATCCCAGCACAACTGCCCAATCCTGCGTTCAGAAATTGGTCCTTGGCGCAAACTGTGTGCAGTACAGTGCAATCAACCATGAATCAACTGAGTGACAGCACAAACTCATCATCAGCACATCAACCAATATCTGAACTTGCTTATTGTACATGCTGTGCCTTCATACGCGTTATTATGGCAATCGTTAAGTTTGAACTTTTTAACTGCCAGATATGGCAAGAATTTTACATTCTGTTTATATTCTTTATAAAATTATTAAAAAAGATGTAACAATATTCATTTTAAACTTCACACTGGTGAGCAGGTACATGTAAGGCTGCAATAGTAGACTAATTTTTGACAGAAAATTACTATAAAAAACTTCCTGATACCAGTAAGGGAAAGAAAGAAATTTTGGATCCTGAAGCCACTTTTCCTTCCTTCGTGTCACACAAAATTACGCTGGCCCATACATTTAACGTTAAAATTTTTGTAACATAATTATCTGAAGCTGAAACTTGTTTCCAAGTTTTGCTCAAAAATACTTTTAAAAGGCTATCCCATCTGTTTTCTGTCCTGTAGCCTTTTAGGGCATGGGGATATACATGTATACCCCTCCCACCATTTGAGGGGGGGATGTGCTATTGAGTCATCCCCCACTTCTTTTGTGATGAGCAAAAAAATTTAAGTGGTTGTAAAGAATTTTAAGGATTTCCCAACGACTAAAATGTTTGCAATATTACTGAAGGGGAAACAGTTTTCTAAAGCCATAAATATACCATTCTGAAATGTCTGATGCAAGATTCTACATGAATTTGATATAAATTACAGATGTACATCTTTATCATGAACAGTGCCCCTGTAGCTCCCCCCCCCCACCTTTTCAAATTTCCATTGCTAGGTAGCCATTCACTGCACTGACTTACCTGGTTAACTGATTTACACCACTGTTTTCAACAAAGGGCACAACTTTTTTGGGCCTGAAATACATACATGTCAAGTACTAGTCAAGCACAGAACCACCATCTTACATGTACCATGACCACTTATCCGACTCCCATTAATGCATTATTGGATGGAGGCGATTCGTAGACTCCAATTTGCCTCATTACCAAATGGTATGTTATTTGTCATGTTTGTAGGCCTAATCGTCGTAGGCCTACTAGTAGAGTCTACGACTGAGTATGACCATGACGACCAAGTATGATTTATACAATCTGACAATATTCACCTAAACATTAGTCATATTCATCAAAGCATGGATGAAGGCATAATGAAAAATGGGGGTAACTGCAGTGTGAGTGCAGTATAAACGTGGACATACAACGCGACGTAAGTATGCAAAAAGTTAAACTTCAGGCTTAACGTTACAACTTACATTTAACAAGACTTTGACAGGCTCGGCTGATTTCCATGCACGCAGGTCCGGCTCTGTCTTAAAATGTGACGGTACGTTGTGCTGTGATCATAGCCTGGCTTAAAGCGACTTGCGATACTAGTTATCACCACTCCATTAGAAATACGCAGAGACACGCAGACCTAGCCGTAGCTCTGGAAGCTCGTTTCGGACACGGCCTGGGACCATGTTCGCCCAGAAACCAGACATGACCACCATAATATGCTTAATCAAAATGAGTATGGTAACCCAGGCGTACAGGCGCTAGGCATTGCACGAAATTGCGGGACGTACTGTACATGTGTACGTCTATAATCTGTGTGCACGTACGTAATAACGGTAATCCAGCAGCTTGTGAAAACAGGTGCAAATGAAACATGTGAAAACAGTATAACGTTTGGGTTGAATAGGAAATTAGGAATACGTATTTGTTGCCAGGCTTCCACAAAACTGACGATGTGTCAAGTGGATGACGAAGGAATATCCGTTTTGGAGAAGAAACCAAGTTTGGGGTAGGCAAGGCTAACCAGCATGACCAGCTTACAATACAACACTAACAACCACGACAACCCAATTATTGAATTAACAAAACATGGTGGAAAGACTTCGGATGCCACTGCACTTGACTCCTAATGCATATGGCATATAACATCACGCTAGAGGGCATTTCTTTCTTCCTTCAGGATAGGCTCGAGTAAACCTTTTGTGCATTCATTGTAATTAAATTGAAATAGCAAAGATTAGCCTCTGACTCCGCCTTAACGCAAGGGGTCTTGTACACACCCAAATCTAGGCTATGATGTACATGTAGGCTGAAAGACTGGTCTTAAAATTTGAAGCGTTTTCTCAGTAAACGACTTGGTATTTTCCCTCCTAAATTAACATTTCCTGGACATGTTTTTGCTTTCTGATTGGGAATAATTACTGGCGTCTGTATACATGGTAGGCCTATATGGAACTCTTTCCGCATGCCCACATGGCTAACAACGTGTGTTCTGTTTATGGCCAAAGAAAGCTTAGCATTAGGCCTAAGCATTCCTAGCCCAGTGGAATCCCTGACCATACTTTAACTACGTTACAGCATCACAGGGAGTCCACAAAATGAATGGACCAAAACGGGGCAACAAAGTTCGGAGAGAATTCCATATACATGTAGGCCCTAGGGCCAGACCTACAGACGCCACTAATTTCTCCCTGTTGTGACCTATTAGTAAAGCATTAAAATGTTCTAACATACCTAAAAAGCTGTGGAAATGTTGGCATGATGATTATGACACTCACTTAGAAAACACTTGGCATATTTCAAACCAGTCGTATAGGATTTGTGTACAGGGTGTCATTTTGTCGGGGGGCATCCGTGTGTGGAATTCTTTCCCAAAATCTAATAAGAAGTATTCTCACTACTTTCACTTTTCAATGACACCAGTTCTACATCTCTGCATAAATCGTATCGTGGAGGAAGAAAAACAGAACATACCTGTGGACCTCTGCGTTTATGGGATTGGGGACGGGGAGTTAAGAAATTCCACACACCACTACAGATGACACAATGAGGAAAATAAACTCAGAAATAATGTTAATGTGTCATTGTTGTAGACTGCTCTTGTTTTCGAGTTCATACAGCACGTGTCACGTTTACTGCATGCATACATGTACATGTACACCACCAGGAACGTGCATACGCATAACCTTGTGGTTAGATTGTGGCACCTGTGATGTTTGTATGAAATGCAAATCGGGTTTTATTTTAACACCCTGTTTAGGAAAGGAGTTTTTTTTGGGGGGGGGGTTTTGCCTGCCCAGGTTTGCATTTTAAGTGTCAAGTTCTCACAACCTACCAGTGTTTTAAGATCATGTTATATTCATGGTCATGACATTTCTTTTTGTTACAGGGTTAACCCAAGAGATTGTATGAAATGTGGAGAGAAAGCTGTGGTAATCGCAAGGATCAAGGATCCATTTTGCAGGTACATGTACTTCAGGCTAGCATAGTTACAGAGAAGAGGATAGGATTACAAACTGATGAGAGAGCTTAGTACGCTATCAATTCATACAGTTTGAGTCTAGGGACTATGCAGAGGATGATGAGATTCATTTTCCCAGTTCTGTCTTCCAAATCTAATTACATAGCCTCTGTTTTTAATCTCTTTATATCTTTTTATGTGAAGTTTACATTTGCTTGACGCTTCCTGGCGTCTTTTTCTTTATCACTTTTTTGTACCTTGTCCAAAGTTTTTGAGATCATAATGCGACCCATCCGTTCAAGTCAAAAGTGTTCGGGATGTAATCTCCCCCCAGTTCCATATCCTTGTGTTCTGTTGATTTGTAGCTTATATCTATAAACTAGTCACAGTTATTAAGACCAGTCTATTGAGGCTCAACATTTGTATCTACCGTATGTTGTCCACCTATTACATCTCCAGCCACATTTGACCTGGAGTCAACCCATGAACAGTCACCCCTCTGCCCCATCCTCTCCTTCCCCATACACCTCATGATCAAGAAAAGTGGGTTAAAACACTTAGCAAATAATATAGATTTGTGCTCTTTTTTTTGTGTTTTTTTTTTTGCAGGTCCTGTTTTTTAAACTACTTTACACACAGGTTCCGAGCAACATTTGGGAAAGCGAAGGTCATACGAGATGGAGATAAGGTATGTGTGTCAGTACATACAAAGGAATGAACACAGTCTGTGTTGAGAGAAGCTGCACGACCTTACACAAGTACATGTACATGTATCAGTGTCAGGCACAATCGTGTTGCACTGTCAGTCCATCCTGTATGAAATCCTGGTCTTCACTTCCCTTTTTCAAAACGGTCTTCCACGACCCGTGCATGAGAAAGAAAAGATGTATCCACAAATCATGCAGTAAGATCGACAAATTGCTCAAAGGTTGAGCAATCATGATGATCCACCAGTCGCACCCAACATCAGATCAAAAAAGTGCATGGCACGAAGATAAATAAGAATGTGTATTTAAAATGGATGCTGTCATTGACTTCTCAAGTCTCCTGCCATGTCTAACTTACTTGGGTTGTGGCTGGAATTACCGTGTGTTCCTGTGGCCAGTGGCTTCAGAGATATTTTCCATAGACATGTCCATTATTCTGCCCATCTGGTGAAGCCTTTCCTCTTCATTCGCAGGTCTTGCTGGCTTTTTCTGGCGGTCAGTGCTCAAGTGCGATGGTCAGCCTTGTGAAAAGGGTAAGGGGGTCATGGGTCACAAGTCACATTGAGGAATATTCATCTGGGCCCAATTTCACGGCGCTGCTTATCGCAAGCGAAAAGCCGGCGCTTACCAAAGCAGAAAATTCTGTGGTTACGGCAAACATATTTCAAGGGTTAGCACGGAATTCTGGCTTGTGTGCATGTGTACATCCTGTAACTAAGGATTCTGTGCTTCAGAGGTTAGCGCAGAATGGAGATCCTAAGTGCGGAATTCTGCAGTAAGCAGCGACACAGAAATTGGGCCCATATAGCATCCAAGAAAGTCAGGGGCAGGAAGATCGGTGCTGCTTACAGTCGGCTTCCTTGATAAAAACCCCATTGATTAAAGACCTGCAGTGTGCATCTTGTAAATGTGGGATTGACAAAATGTAGGAGAAGAGGTAAAAATGGATGTCAGTGTCATGACTGATAGCCCATCCCTGAACATGCCGTGTGCAAAAAGATTCTACATGATTCACAGGGCACCTCAAAGGTCAGGGGAATGAATCACCAGAAACACACTAGGCTTACATTTACATTTACATTCTGGTTATACATGTATTTACATCAATTTCCTCACCAAAATGGTGGTGCTGTCCGAGAAATGGTATTTCTTCAAAGTTAGTCTTAAAAAAAATGATCCCTTATAACCCAGAAAGTACACAGTATCGACTCGGCTTATAAGACACTTAACTTCCATTGCACCTTCTTTATGTTATAGGGGCAGTCCACATGATTCTTGGCATCAAAACATAAGTTACTTAATACAGGTTACTCCATCAACTTTCAAAGCACTCTGTTGTTTTTTTAAAACCTCTTCTCTTTAACACCTGTAATACTAAGATAAACACTTTATTGTTTACATGTAGGTAACAATTTTTCTTGAATTTTCTGTTAAATACATGTTTATTTTTGTAGGGGCTTGATCAAAGTACACACAAGAAACTACGATTCATACCAGCTCTGATCTACATTGATGGTGAGTGATCAGTCTTGGTGTTGGTCATGGAAAGATTGTGTAAACTTCATCAACATAAAGGGCCCAAATCGTTGAAATACAGTAGAAAAGGAATTGTATTTTTCATTCTTACTCACTTATATGTTATCAAGAGAGTATGGTAGCCCAGAAGGGACCTTACAGATCGTCAATATTTATGTCAATTTTTGCAACCATTTTTACAACCCACTCTCCAGTCGCAAAAGTTGACGCCAATATTCACTACCAAATTCACAGCTCACTCTGTGGTCGAGAATATTGCCGTCAATATTCACAACTAAATTCACGACTTACTCCCTGGTCACAAATATTGACGTCAATATTTTTGACCAAAATTCATGACTCGTATCTCCCTTCGCAAATGTTGCTGCAAATTTTTGTCAGCAAGCCAGGTTAAGAGAGAAGTTGCTCAGCTATAGACTTCGACTTCAGATCAAGCCGAAAAATAATGGTCATTGCGCGTGCGCGTGAACACTTCATTTCCACTGAGCAGCAATATTTGCGACCGGAGATACAATGAGTGAATTGTGAATTTTGTCCCAAATATTGACTTTAAATTCTCAACTGAAGAGCGAGTCGTGAATTTAGTCGCAAATATTGACAGCAGTATTCGTTACCAGAGAGCGAGTTGTGAATGTGGTCGTGAAAATTGGTGTCAGTATTCATAACTGAAGAGTGGGGCATAAATTTGGTTGCAAATATTGACGCCAATATTGATGATTGGTAATGTTCCTCTAGGGCCACCATAAGAGACCAATTTCATTCATCAAAAAGAAAAATAATAATTTCACACATAACGAAAAATGGGTGGTTCACACATTTTCTGTTTAACTAGTCCCCATTTTTTTCAGAGGGGTTAGTGACTGGCCAATCCAAGGAGGACCGGGCAACGACATGTCAGAGGATCAGTCATATGATGAGAGAGACAGGTTTCCCATGGTTCATTGCTACTTTGGAAGAGGTACAAGATATGCTGAAAACTTCTGCATATCAGTTCTGAAACTTCCCGCTAATCACAATAATATTAAACATCAATATTGAAAATTTCCAGCTAAATCAAATTGGTCTGAAGCAATTTGTCACACCTGAGTGAAGGTTGCCTTATCATTTTTCAAACCTAGTCGCTTGTCATTAGAAGCATGCAAATGTCACCCCACTTGGTTTGGTTTGTTTGAAGGCAGGGAATTGAGTTGGCAGAGGAGTTCAAGCTCGGTAGTAATAAGAATCTTTTTATAACTTATTTCTGCTGTTTTACAAGTAATGGCGGTTGTTACATTTTCTTCATAATTTGTTAAAGTACATGTAATGTTGTAATGCAGTCTCCATAAATTTTCAAATTTCTGTATCACAGTTTTTCAAAACTCAAATTAAAAAAAGTTAATACAGTCAGTGATAACCCCATTGTCTTCATTTCCCAGGCGCTAGGAATTCCAGCCCAAACCACAGTTCAAATGAAGAGCCCTGATGCCTGTCAAGCAGGGGCCAGTTTCCATGGCAACCAAGACCTCAGTGCAGATGAGCTGGCCGGTAAGCTGGAAGAGATTTGCCTGGAGACGGATTGTACTCAAGAGTGCAAGGACTTGCTAGCATCAGTAACGTCCTTGACTGCCAAGCAGGATCTCGTCAGTAATCTAAGGTAGGTACCATCAAAAGATGCAGGTTGAAATGTCTTAGGTGTTTACCATGATTTGATTTGCTGAGGAATATTTTACAATCATGGCTTTATATAATAAGACAATCTTTGAAATTTATCATTGTCCCAACAAGTGGTGGACGGTACAGATTGCCCCCTCCCCCCGTCCTCCATGATCCCAGCTGCCTGTGACTAGTCCTTTTGAACCTTGAATCTGCAAAAGTCTGATTCCTTCCAACAAAAGGTGTTATGGTCATTTGAACTTCGCAATCGCATGTGTGGTGGCGTGTACATTGAGCACATGTCATTGGGGAAAATGCCAACATTTCTGGCCTACCCATCTTGGTAAGGTGGATATTATGCTCAAACTGTATGCCTGATTGCCTCAAAGTTGATGTCAGAATTACAGTAACATGTCCATAGTACAATCTCCCGAAGGTTTGGCACAATGAAAAATTTCTTTCCAACAATATTGAAGAAAATGGGGCGATGGAATGTGATCCCTCTGCTGTTTTAGGATTAATTTAAATGAACATTTTCAGTGACAGTGCCTTACCTCATTACTCATTGGCCTAGGCACCGTCTACTCATACACAAAGCTCGTCAGCTGGGCTACCACAAAGTGGCTGTTGGAGACAGCGGGACCAGGCTATCATCAGGAATTCTGTCCAGCCTAGCAAAGGGGAAAGGTGCGGCCATACCAGTTGCTATGGCATTTGTGGATGACAGATGCAGTGACGTAACATTCCTTAGACCGATGAGGTAAGATTATTTGAAATGTCTTCAAAAGAGTCTGCTATGATTTTGAAGTTCTTCCAAACATTTGTGAGAGGTAAAATTGAAAAAAATTGCGTGTACATGTATGAATCAAGTGATTCAAGTGGTCTATAGAGTGATGAATATTCATAAACTGTTGCCTTATCTGACGGGTGAGATTTGTGATGTTTTTTCCTGTTTTGGGGATTTTTCATCAGGATCTTCTTGGTTTTTGGATTTTTCAAACAATTGAGGAAATGTTGAGATCTCCATTTAAGTTTTTTTATGATAAAAATGGATACATAACACAAAAATGGGTATATGAAGGGTTATCTTAGGGCAAACACAAGACCCTATGCCGCTGTAGGGCCCTCAGAACCTCTGGTGTTATTTTATGGATATTTCATTTTCATCCATAAAGTAGAGCTGATACTTTGCCAATCAGTGTTGTAGTCAAGACCACTTAAGACCTTCAAAAGACCAACACAAGACCTCCAAGCTGAGTTCAAGCCACAAGCTATTCAAATGAACTGCAACAAAAGCATTCCTTTGTCATTGTTCACCCTGTTGCTTGTGACTGGTCTTGTGCATGGTCTTGTGATGGTCTCAATTACAGGACTGTTGTCAATAATACTAGTTTCAACAAGGAGATACGGATTTAAGAAAAATACCTATATTAGTACAGAAAAGGACATAGATAAATGTAATGTGCCAACTTGCATGGTACCTGTTTGTAACATTTGTCCCTCTTTGGCATCTGATACACACCTTTTTTCACCATGCTAGGGAGTTCACTTCTAAGGAGATAGCGGTGTACAATGCCCTGTTCAATGTTGACTCCCTGTTCCAGCCAACTTTGTCAACCATGGCCGGGGAGTATGCCAGCATTGACACACTGACTGAGACATTTGTCAATGACCTCCAAACCAACTTCCCTTCCACAGTCAGCACTGTATTCAGGTAATCAAATGGTTCCAAACACATCCAGTTACTGGCATTAACAGTTCCTGTGTTGATTAAGAGGGTTTTTCCATTTTTTTCCTTCCCTCTTAAATTCTTCTTTCCTTACTTCTTTCCCAAGTTAGACTACATGTAATTTTTTTTCCATCTGCATAGAGAAGGTACTCCGTGCTTTGTTGCAGATCTCCAAGTTTGCAAAAACTGTTGTACACTTTCCAGCTGGATTATATACACGTATTGAAGTTATAGAAATTTGGCTTAATTATACTCCATGAGAATAATTTCAAACTCCTTTCTGTCAATTAATGAAAATGGTGTAGACCTCATACTGTTATAAAGCTATTGCATTCAGTTGCCCCCGTTCTGATTTCCTTAAATTTATGTGAATTATTGGCAAATTTAAGTTTAGTGGTATGGTTTTTAGCAAAGGAGTTCTTTTTCCTCTTTTAATTAGGACAGGAGAGAAGATGTGCTCTGCAGAATCAGATGACCCCGAAGCAGTGAAGCGATGCAGTCTGTGTATGGTAAGTTACAATGTTGATATGATCTCCATAGACTATACCAGGCACGAAATGGGACAGAGGGGTACCCCCCCCAATAAGTCCAATCCCTATACATACTTCAGCCTTTTATTACTTAACACATCCCCCTAGATGTCTGAAAAGAATTCCTGAGATACCAGCATAACAGTGACCAACACTTAAGCGGGGGAGGTTCTCTCTGTCCCAAGGTTTGCATCAAATGTGATAGACCTGCATCGTACATAAGATCAAATCCCCCCCCCCATAGTGACAAATGGAAAGGCAGGGATGAAAAACATCACATTGGCATGTGTTAGTATGGGAACTGTGAATGAACCTAACAACAAAATGCAGTGTTTGATTGGATTGAAACCTTGCAAATGTGCTCATAATGAATGTCTTCACATGCACACTCCAAACAGATTAGACATCGCAAGCTTAAGGGTGGACTGTGTAAGATGGTCTGACAGGTCCCAGCTCTTTTTTGGTTAATTGCAATTCTCACCAAAGTTTGACCTTACCAAACCCATTAGGTCTTGAAACAAGTACACGCGCTCAGAGAAGCATAGCAGGAAACGGGAACAGGTCTCAACGTGGTATTGAGTCGAATGGAGTTCAAACGGGGCCCCCCGTGATTTTTTTTTTGGCCATCACAGTCAGTTCTCGACACAGCTGTGGGGAAGTCGTCCGCTCTACATGCCACACGATTCTCCTTGCAGTTATCAAGGAAGGAGCACAGTTCTACCGGTGACAACTCTTGCAAGTCAGTCAGCCTAAATGATGCAACCTGTACCAGTTCCTCTTCACGACAGTGTTGTGGACAGGGCGATGGGAGTTGCCATAGTAACCAGAAGAAAAGGTTATACATAGAGAGATATTTGCGATAGTATTTTCATTCTCAACAAGAGAACAGGTTTAAGCTGTTACCATCATTGGATTTTCTTGTAAGACTGAATATTTTTGTATTTCCAGCGTTTCTGCCGAGAGTCTAAATGAGACACTTTGCTACGGTTGTCAGGTGACAGTTAGGGAAGTGGTAAGTTGCGACCAGCACATCTTCCAATTGAACTTTACCCTAAACAGCTTGTATGCCCCTGGCAGGCACGTTGGTGTGGTTTTGGCTATTTTCATTTGTACCCAGCCAATACCGTAGCTGTCAGGACATTATGAGTTCAACCCAAGTAAGCTTATGATTTTATTTCTCACAAGTTCTCATAAAGGACTGAGCACGAAATGGTCATTATATTACAACTGGCAAAAGGCAAGTCAAATATTCCCAAACCAATGCAAAACAGTTCCATACCTGCCAACCGTTCCGATTTAATCAGAATTGTCCCGATTTTTAAGTTTACTGACCGCAAAAACTTGGGACATTCCGATTCTGGTGTGATTCCTTCAGTGGCTACTGTGTGGATTGGAAGTTTGAGCCCCTACGAGATTAGGGAGCTCTTGCTCTCTGGGTTGAATGTTGCATGAGAGTATTGCTAAGGAAAAGATTGAGACAATCAGGACAAAAGTGAGACAAAAATGGACAAACGCTGTTAATATGTTATGGTAATATGACCTGACTTGATGTATTTGACTATTTTGTCTGCAGAGAGACTTGAACCAGCTCCCACATTACGTCTTGGAGCAATGTGCCAAGATGGAACGGAGGTATGTGTGCCATTTCCCATTGTGGGTTTCAGTTTGACAAATGTCAGATGTTTCTGGGAGCATGCTTGCAAATTTCCAGCCATTGTGACACTCTCACAGCACTTTTATAAACTTCTGCATTGACCCTGTTGTCACTTAGTAATTGTTGTGTGTGTCAGTAGGATGTGTTGAAATCCATGCATCCAGGCATATGATCACCGCACATAAGGAAAATCCTTGTATTATGTAAAGCATTGTGCCAGTTACTTACAAAATCGTTGCTCCTTGATGTTGACAGTTTTTCAGTAGTCTGGTGGAATAAGTAGCAAGTGTAAAAGTGTAGAAATGGATACTAGGTACCACACATGCCAGATGCTCTTTCTTACACAGTTAAATGGAGGCAATGGTAAAGTGTGAGATAGGTTCGAGTCTCTATTTGTGTTTTGTACATATTCAGTACCTTAAGATTTTGGGATCTTCCATACACAGTTCATGTACCACTGCTGACCCCATATCGTGGCAGCTTGCTTGAACTGTTACAGTAAATCCTACAGTCGTCCATTTCTTTCTCCAGGTCCAGAATGCGAGACGAGATCAAGGACTTCTTGTTGTGTGAGGAAAGTTGACATTGATCTACACTAACAGATTAGGTCGTCGTGTTTTTTGCAGGTTGATGCATCCACTGGCTTTATCTTTAAAACATATCTAGTCCATTTTTATTTTTTTAAAAGGGCATTTGAAAATAATTTTCAGGCACAATTTTGTACACACTTGCCTGTGAATTCCCTTGTCAGAGTGTGAAAAAGTACTATTGGCTAAGTCTTGGGTGCACATGTGGAACAGAGAGAATACAGAATTGGTTTTTTTCCCTTCCATTTCTCCACCTGAATCTCATAAACCTCTATTTTTAACAACCCACAAGGCATATGTTCTACATATAGCAATTTAACAGGGTCTTTAGTGCAAACATTGTAGATTGGACGAATTCATTAAATTGATCTTATGAAAACTTGTCAGATGTTGTAATTATTTTCATTTGGAAGAGCAGCTACATACCATTTGCATAACATGACAAATGCACAAAATGCAGCAGGAGTGACTATGCTTATTCAAATCAGGCCACAGAAAAAATCATCCCAAATTTCTCTTCAGAGTTTTTGCAAAGTTCAGTTAAGGCATTTGTGTTTATTTTCAGATGTAGTTTGGAGGCTCCAAATATAATAATGAGGCATGTAACTTCCTGTTGTAATTTAAAGTAACTCAACACTCAAAATTCTTCAGCAACATTCAATTTTTAATGAATAAATAGAACTGAAAAAATGACAATGGATGTGGTGCTAGATGTTGGATATGGGAGCTGATGAGAAACCGGGAGGCCAGTAAATACAGTTAACTTGTAACAAATGACAGTTTGCATGGTGTCAAATTCTCTGTTAGAGTGTTTTTGTGGCCCATGAACGAGAGGGTTTCTTGAAAAGACAGTTGAAGCTACCAGCAGGAATTAGAATCTGTGTCTGTGTGAGATTTGGATTAAATCAGTGCCCTAAAAGAGTCCATTTTACCATGGAGTGGAGCCATCATTTCTCAAAGAGGGTAACATCATCTTGGTAGGGACGTTAATTTTCCCCCAAAAGACATAGCATTACCCACGAGTAAAAGTACAGAAAATGACTGGTGACACTCTAAGCTCTACATGTGTCGGATAAATTTAAAAATGTTGATTTTATTTTGTTTTTCATTCATTGAGGGTAGTAGTCACTGTTGTCTTTGGTAGTTGATCAAGTGGCCTGTAACTTTATGTGACCTAAAATAACTTGTCATTAATTTGCATAGCACATGCTCTGCCGCTAGAAAAAAATCAGTGGAAATGTTATTACAGTAACTTTTGCTGTTTTTCAAAGGCCGGTTAGCCAACTAAATTTAATCTTGAAAATACAAAATGAATATTTAAGAAGTATACCAAAAATGGACAGGGGTGTTCGGGAAAATGAAAGTAAATTTTTGAACAAAATCCTTGGAAATTCATGACTCCAACTAAAATGGTATTTATGAATGGGAATTGTGCTTGGTCGGTGTTATAATATTCAAGACTGGCTCGGGGAAGGGACGCAACTAATCTCCTCATCAAGCACATATTGATCCCCTTCATGAAAAATTGTCTTGTGCAAAGTTCATAATGATCAATCGCGCAGTGGGAGAGAAGTAGGAAGTCATACAAATGTAAATGTTTAAAGGGGATAAAACTAATCCAAATACAATGCAATCAGCATGACTACAAAAACTGAAAATAAAATACACCATCATATCTTATTGTTAACCACTTCCAGCCACTGGCAGGAGGAATTTGCATATGTGGGACGACTTCCCGGGCGATTTTCAAGATTTTCAGTTTTCAAAATTCTTCAAAAGATCATAACTTTATTAATACCCACACGGGCAACAATTTTTCTTTCGTCCACCGGATGATGATGGATTCATGGATATTCTAGCCAAGGTGACGAAAGAGATTCTTCTTCATCAGGAGGACAGGAATATGGCTCTTTCTGCAGGTTCGACCTCGCCGCGGGTCACTCTTGGAGCAACGAGAAGTTCACAGGTGTCTACCTCCCCATGGGTGGCACCTAATATTGAGCATGGGGTCGGGCCGCCATACCTTGTCCCACATGTAACATCAAGCCATGACAGTACTTTCCCCAGGCAGTCATACCCAGTGCAACAGCCGAGCACCCGACTCGGCATCGGAAGCAGCCGTGCTTATACCCAGCAAGAAATGAGACCGAGGGGTACCCCCCCCCAACATGTCCAATCCCTATACACATTCC